ACTATTTTAATATTGGCGGCAAATCTTAGTAGCTAAAATATTAAGAGAGTTGACATCATCTGGCCCTGTGGATTGTCCTTTTTTATCTTGCTCTTTAAATTTTCTATTTTGTCAAAGACAAGATCATCTCACTCTAATCATTGGGCTTTTCAAATGCAGGCCATTGACAGCCCTAATTTGTTGTTTATGGTAGATTTTGATGAACTATAATCCAGTGATTCAAATAAATTGCATAAAACTACTATCTTGGTGAAGATGAAGCTCCTATGAATGAACCAATATGGGGGCTATTGAAACCCATGGTGTACTTGTATGAATAATGTTTTGGCTATTGATTTAATTAAACAAACATGCTAGCTACCCAACAAAGCCTGGGATGGGAATGAACAAAGAGGTTTTGCAATTGAGTTGTGACTACAACCTTTCTCCTTGTGCATTTCATGTTGTTCCTTGGGAAACTAAGCTCTCGTGTTCTAGATATGGGCCTGTTGACCTTTATAGTCTGCATACACTGGCCACTTACTTGCACCGGCAGAGGGCAGCAGAAGAGAAAGCAGTTGCACATTCTAGGATCAGGACAAGGTTTGCTAAAGGAGGTCCTTGCCTTTCATCTTACATTTCCCTCCCATCACTTGACCCAAGTTGTGGATTGATTAAATCATTGACATTTTCAAAAGCTATATATTATATATTTATTGCACATATATCTAGTAACATTACATCAATTTTGATTTCTTTCACGTTGAAAGAAGAAATGCACATATATCTAGTAACATTACATCAGTTTTGATTTCTTTCACGTCGAAAGAAGAAAGAAAGTTTTTATTTTTCTCATGGTTTTATTCTTTTCTATCCCCTTACTTTGTTTGCTTCTTTCAAAAATATCATGTTGAATCTGAAGGATCTTGTATTGAGATAGATGGAGAATGACAAAATATAATGAGAATAGATTGAAATCATACCTAAATCTATGAAGGTGCAAGTACAAGGGTGGCCTTTTAGATCAACATAAGGGAGTCGTCCAATGACTTGTTTTAGAGAGATGGGATGTTCTAAGAGTGACTCATGAAGTGCGTCTTTTTATATAGACAAGAGGTGGTTAACCTCTTAGTGTCTTTTTCTAATTTAGTCAATCATAAAATTACAATAAGACTTGATCTCTACATATATTTATATTTATACTTATACTTACAAGAGAAGTATTCCAAAATACTTAAACTCCAATGAATCACTTTAACTAGGATTAATTCAATGATAGCCCCATAATATATAATTCATATATATCATTGTCCACATTGAGGTTAATTTTTATAATCTCCCACTTGGACAAAATACATATGATAACTTGATATTGTACGTTATAACTTTATGAGCTCAAAATTTTACTATCCTTTTCAAAGACATCTCCAGCAATCTCGTCCATCATTAGATTAATATAGAATTAAAGAGATTTTCATTCATATTTTTCACATGATTGAATGCACAATAATCACATATATCGATATAATGAACAACATAGGTCAAGTATAGATATGTAGTATGAAAATTACATGAAATATGACTCACACATATATTTTCAACTTAGTCCTCCATATTCGGAATGGAGATCAAATAATCACATTTAGAGTAAAAATAATCATAAATTTTATTCATATATGAAATAGCCAAAGTATATGTCTATAACAATATGAGCATCAAAATACAAACTCTCACTGAAATTACATATTCTCATGAGGTATTACACTCATATGAGCAAAATGCGTATGAAAGACCTTTAGTAGCAATCACTAAGTAGATCTACTATCATGGAATTTGTCTCAATATGCTCAATAGACATCCAGTCACTCTGAACTTTTCTTTAACAACTAAGAGCTTGATGTCTATATGTTTTGATTCCATCAAATTCTTATTATTCTTGGAAAACATACAGTTGATTTGTAACTCTATGACAAAATTCTTCAACCAACTTCTATGATTGAATGCCTCATAGCATGCTATAAACTCTGTTGTCATAGTAGAAGCTATGAGTGTTTCCTTAGCACTCTTCCATGATTTAGCTCCTCTAGCTAGCAAATAAATATACCCTGTAGTAGATCGTCTACTATTCGTGCATCTAGCGAAATAAAAATCTCAATACCTAATGATCTCCAAATAATTTGATTTTCTATACGTGAGTATATAGTTCTATCTTTTGCAAATACCGCATAACTCATTTGGTTATTTTCTAATGATCAACACTAGAGTTCCTTAAATATCTGTCCAGTACTCTAATTATTTACACAATATCCAGACACATATATACTAGAGCATACATAACACTTTTTATGGCTGATGCATAAGAAATCTTCTACATCTCTTTAGCCTCATAATCATTCTTAGAATGTTGATTGAGACTAAACTTTTCTCTCTTAACAACAAGGATATTATAAGGTTAACATCCTTGCATATCAAATCTCACAAAGATTTTCTTAATATAGCTCTTTTGTGATAACCCCAAAATATTTTAAGGTCAATCTTAGTAGATCTCAATGCCCAATATATAAGAGGCTTAATCGAGATCTTTTATCTCAAAAAAATTTGACAAAATCTTTTGATGTCACAAAGTAAGCCGATATTATTATTGACAAGTAATATGTCATCAACATATAAAACTAGAAATATAGATTTATTCCTACTGAACTGATCATATACACATTCATCACTCATATTCATCTCAAAACTAGAGGAGATGATAACTTGATGAAATTTGCAATACCATTGACGAAAAACTTGTTCTAACCCATAGATGGACTTCTTCACTTTGAATACCATTGACTTTGGGTCTCCAAATATAAAGTTTTTTAATTGCACCATATATATTGTTTCATCAATGTCACTATCAAGAAACATAGTCTTTATGTCCATCTAATGTAGCTCAAGATCAAAATAAACTACTAGTGCCATTATTATTCTAAAAGAGTCTTTCAATGAAACCGAAAAGAAAGTTTTTGTATAATTGATTCTCTTCGAGTGAATTCTTTAGCAATGAGACAAGCTTTATATCTTTCCACATTACCCTTCGAATCTCTTTTAGTTTTAAATATCTATTTGCAACTAATAAACTTTGCACCTTTAGATAATGAGACAAGATCCCCATACGTCATTGTCCTTCATGGATTTAATCTCTTCATTCATGACATCAATCCACTTATGAGAATTAAAACTTTGCATGACTTGATGAAAGTTGATAGGATCATCTTCCATCACTCTAATGTCAGCCTCATGCTCTAAACGAAATATGATATATTCATCCAAAATCATATTCTTCCTCTCTCTAGTTGATCTTCTTAATGACACTAATTCGTGAGTATATTTAGTTTGTTCTTCTGAAGAGGGAGGTATGATGACATTATTTTGATCTAAAGTTGCTTCTTGGTCAATGTTAGTCAAGATGATGTCATCAAGACCATTGTCAATAGCAATAGAAGGAATATTTACATATTCTTTTCAAAATCAATGTCTCTAATCTTATCTTCCCTGTAAACTCAACATCTTTAAGAAATAAATATTTCTCATCTCAAAAATAACCTTAGTAGTGAGATTATAAAACTTATACCCCCCTAAACCTTTCTAAGTATCCAACAAAGTAGCCACTAACTATTTTAGAGTCAAGTTTCCTTTTATTAGGTCTATAAGGTCTTGTCTCTGTTGGACAATCCTAAATGTGCAAATGTTTTAGACTAGACTAATTGTCCATCCAAAGCTTATGAGTTTTAATAGTTACCTTAGTTGGAACCCGATTAAGAAAATAGGTTGCAATCTTTAGTGCTCTCTAGAGGTTATCTAGCATGGTAAATTGACTATCATACTCCTTACAATATCTTTAAGTATTTTATTTCATTTTTCAATAACATTATTCATGCTAGGAGATCCTATCATGGTGTACTGTTGGACAATGCCACACTCTTTTAGGAATTTAACAAAAGGTATTAGATGTTATTCACTTGATCCATCATACCTACTATAGTATTTACTACCACAATCTAATCTAATAGCCTTAATTTATTTGTTGAGTAAATTCTCAACTTTAGCTTTATATTTCTTAAACACATCCAATGATTGATACTTCTCATGAATAAGATAGAAGTAGCCAAATCAAGAATAATCATCTATAAATGGAATAAAATATTATTGACTATTCCAAGAGGCTGTAAGGAATGATCTACAAATATCTGTATGTATTAATTCTAAGACATCTAAAATTCAACACGTGTCAAAATCCTTATAATCAAGTGGGTTAAGAATTCTATTAAATACAAGTTGATCAATTCATTTTTTAGAGATATGACCTAATCTCTTGTGTCATAATGAAGCGAAATTCTCATTGATTAATTTCTTTTTGCACTCCTTGAACTGATATGCAGGATTTGATTAAAAATGACCATTACATCAAGTATAGGTTATCATGACTTGATAAAGCACCAGTACCAATACGATTTAAATTATCAAAGAGACTAAATTTCTCATCTCTAAATAGACAACTATAATCAAATTTTTCTAAATTAGAAATAGAAATCAAATTCAGTCTAAAAGATGGTATAACATAAGTATCAATCAAATCCAAATAGTGACTAGTCTTTAATAATAGCCTAAAAGTCCATACTGCCTCTATCACTACTCCATTGTCATCACTCAAATAGATGTATCTTTCATCATCAATTGGCTGACAGTAATGGAGGCAATCTTGCCTAGACACAATATGTGAATAGTAACACTAGAATTTATCCACCATGTATGCAAGGGTGCAAAAGTTAAATTAACTTCTGAACAAACTAAAACGAGAAGGTTACCTTTCTTTGTACACCAAGCATGATACTTAGTATAATTATTCTTCATGTGGCCACCATGCTTACAAAAGAAATAAGTAGATTTCTTCTCTTGCTTCTTTTATTGTTTTTTTAGTGGTGGTCCACCTGCAATTTCATTGACCATAAGTCCTTTCTTGATTTTGTTTTTAGAGATCATGGCCAAATGAACTCATTTAGGGACCATTTGTCTTTTTGACAATTATAGCTCACCTTAAATTGACTGAATTGTGTAGGAAGAAAAATCAAAACTAAGTGCACAAGTAAATCTTCCAATAGCTCTAACTTTAGTGCCTTTAGTTTTGATGTAAGATGAGACATCTCAAGAATATACTCTCTTATATTTTTCTTGCCTTTATACTTCATAGAGATAAGTTTTATTAAGATCGTACTTGTTTTGACCTTATCATTCTTAGTAAACTTTTTCTCAAATTCTTCAAGAAAAATTCTTGTTGTAGTAGCCTCTTCAAACAAAGTGTCCTTGAAGGGTTCTAGAATGGCACACTTCATGATCATAAGGCTCATGTAATTCGATCAGTCCCACTTACCTATATTTCTTTTATCCTCATGAGAGTTTGTAAGATGATCTTCTTTTAATGCAATATCTAGATCCATGCAACCGAGAACTATCCTAATGTTCTCTTTTCATGACTTAAAGTTGATGCCCTTTAACATAAGAATAGAGTTTATCTAGGTAGAAATAATAGAAGCAGAACTTGAAATTGTACAAAGAATAATATAAAGCTTACATAAGTAACTTGATTTTCAAATAATAGTACTTTCCATCACAAAATATTAAGTACAACATTAATACTTATCTTTGAACAACAATATTAATTGCAAGTAATATCTTGGTGCGACAAATAAATATTGGCAATAAGTTTCTGTCAAATAATAAGTTTTTCTTTGGACCAACTTATTATTCATAGAAAAATATTAAAAATCGTCACATATTTATTATCACAAATATATGTAATTTGTAAGAAATTAAACTTTTATTTGGGCCAGTTAGTATCTACAAAATCACGTACACAACATCTCATACATTAGAAAAATTAATATCCATGGGAGAGCCTACTTTAGTAAGATGTTGCTTCAAGTAATAATTCTAAAATATCAAACATGTACCAAAATTTAAATTATGATAGTTATTTGACATTTAACCATACTCAATGTAAACATAACCATTGAAAATATCAAATAACTCAAAAAAAAATCCTGAAATAAAATCATCAATAATATTTTAGAAATAAAATGACATCTGAAATAAACTATTTTATGGGCATGATGTCAGCAGACCAAATGTTGACATCATCATCATGACATCATCACTATAGACCGGCACATTGGCTAACTGAATTGGCCTATGCTGAGCCGGTGTGCCATCTAACCACACCATTCTGGCTGTCCAGCTCGTGCTGAGTCAATCACCTGAACCAGCATGAGCCGAGCTACATAACTGAACCGGCATGAGCCAAGCTGCAGACCTAAACTGGCACAAGCCAAGCCACAAAGCTGAACCAGTGCAAGCCAAATTGTAGACCCGAATTGGTGTGAACCAAACCATGGACCCGAATTGATGTGAGCCGAGCTGCAGACCCAAACGGATACCACTTGTCGAATCTAAAGGATCTTGTGTTAAGATAAATAGAGAATGACAAAATATAATGAGAATATATTGAAACCATACCTAAATCCATGAAGGTGCAAGTATGAGGATGGCCTTTTGGATCAGCACAAAGGAGTCGTCTAATGACTTGCTCTAGAGATATGAGATGTTCTAAGAGTGATTCACGATGTGTGACACAAGGACCATGACCACCCATTTATAGACAAGAGGTGGTTAGCCTCTTGGTATCTTTTCAAATCTAGTCTATCATAAAATTAGGATAAGATTTACTCTCTACACATATTCGTATTTATACTCATACTTACAAGAGAAGTCGTAATTTGAAATACTTAAACTCTAATAAATTACTTTAAGTAAGATTAATTCAATAATAATCTCATAATATACAATTCATATATATCATTGTCCACAAGAACTTCGGTCAATTTGATACTTTCCACCAAGCTGTACGATGCCCTCCCATTGGCTAGAGTCCGGGCATATGATGTTTTCTCTTTCCAGAGGAGATATGGGACCCAGTGCCAAGCCATTGATGGCGATGCTCCTCCACCCTTTGTTGGAAGGAGTCCTCCGTTGGATGGCCTCCGAAGGGGAAGAGAATACAAACAGATACCTCTATTCATTTGATCTCCAACATGAAACGCTTAGCACCATCCACCTTCTAGTGTACGACACGAGCACTCACGTCACTAATTTTAACATGGTGTGAGAGTAACGGATTTCCTCTAATGGCACAAACCTGCTTAGAGTTACAGCCCCGGCGTCCATCCTCTTCTCCCGAGGCATCCTCCACCCATGCGCCAGCAATAGCTCACGGTGCCATCCATGACCACCCTCCGGCCCTCAGCATCATCTGTCTTTGCTCTCTATCGGCCTACACCCTTCACATTCTTCCCAAACCTGAGCCCTTGGCTTTTCTCCCGAGCACGCTCCTCCAGAGCAGCTCCGAGTTTCCGACGCCTTCCGCCTTCAGCTGACACAGAACATCTGCCGGAATTTCATTCTTGAGGAATCCATCGCCCAAATATCCCTCACGTCAACCCCCGGGATCCTTTCAAGGTAGCTAGAGGGGATTCAGCCAAAACATTTATAAATTAACCCTACAAAACTAGCATAGGGGAAGTTGAACAGATCCCCGACTTAGGGTACCCTTTTTATGCTTAACCCGTGATTTGATTTCTCGATTTATTTTCCTCTCTGTCGTCCTCACAATTCTGTTCCATAAATTTTTCTGTCTTCTAATCACAGACTTATTGAAATATTCCGATTACTCTAGAAATTTGACTTATATTCATTATGCTTGATAATTTAAAAGTCGGACAGTTCAATCAGAGATAGGAATAGTCAGTGACCGACGCTCATACCTCTCTCCCGATTCATTGAAAGGCTGCTACCCCTCCATATTCCGGCCAATTATCGACACCTTTGACCCCCTTTCTGCGGAAGATCCACGTCCCCGTCATCTAGCCACTTACAAATACAAAGTATTTTGCCAATTGACATCTATCTATTGTGTCTCGACAATTTTAAGAATTAATAGTGTTTTGAAGCTCTACAAAAGTCCAGAGAAGCAATACAATATATTATCCTAATATCTCAGACCTAATAGAACCAGTCTAAATCAGGCATTAGCGTTTATTTGACACCGCTCTTACGGCCTACCTCTCCCTGTCCCCAGCCGCTCACGCAACTTTCCATCCGACAGCTACGACTCTGACACGTGTTTCCTCTTGCTTCCTCACGTCCCGTGGGCGCCTACCTCCACCTGCCTTAGTTGGGAGATGGGGGGAGTGGGGAGAGGCGGGGAGGGTGGTGGCTAGGCCCGTTGGACGAGACAGGATAATAATCATAACCGTCGAACAGTTTTTAGTCGGACAATACCAACAGAAACAAATAAAAGAGAATATAATCCTTGAATGATTTTCCAGGTCCTGAAATCATCCTAAGATGATTTTGAATTAAACTTCTTGATGCACAGACTCACCGTACCCACTTAATAAGCATCGTTTTATACTCGTCGTCATCGTATGTTTCAGCATCTTCTTTAAATGCTTTTCCGTTGGAAGCTAAATTATCCGCTGTTAATTGGTACCCTTTCATTATTTCCGTTCATGGTGAACCTCTCCTTGTGATTGGGGTGGGGTAGATGCCTCCCAGCCGGGTGACGGATCGAATCGGAGTTTCCTTAGGTAGCCACCGACCTACAGTTATCCTTAAACTTCAGTGCTTGGTGGAGAAGAAGCGAACAAAGGTACGCTCGCTTGTAGTCTTGTTCTCTGACGCGGACTGGATCGCTCGCCAGCTAGGCCCTATAGAATAAAGTTGGAGCAACACATTGTATGACAACATATTACCCATCTCTGGGGACAAGGGGCAGAACGACCTCTCGATCTCCTTACTGCAGCCCAAGACGGGCGTCCTCGTCTAGGCGTTCCCTGTTGCTCAGATCTAAGCAGCACAGTAGCTAAAAATAAAGGTATAATACGTGCTGAATTTAGAGATGTGAAAGACCAATTATCTCATTCTAAAATGACCTCTAAATTTTTTAATACAACAAAGACCAATTTAAATTACAATTCCAAATTTCATTTCTGAGAAAACAATTGACATTTGAGAACCAGTACCCTCAACTTCCGGCAATCTGTGGGCACTATCAGATAATATATTTAAAGCATTATTATTTGATTATTAATTTTTATTTATCTGCAGTACGTTTATTCATGCACTAACTAATTATTCGATCAGGCCTTTTTTAATTTATTATGTTTATCAACCTATAAATATGATTTGACTTCAATGTTGTACAGAAAACTGTATAAAACTGGAAACCCAAGTTGTCAAGCAGCTTGTTCAGATAACAACTTGAACCAGCTTGTCAAAAATATTGATAGCACTGGTGACGCACGCTTAGAATGCCTCGCTGCTGTCTCAAAAAAATATGATGGGAATGATTAGAAGACTTCAGCCCCTCCAAGAGTAAAGGAAACTGGAATTTTTAAACACAAGATTATCAATTGTTCATAGGTCTCAAGCTCTCATCATCAGTTAAACATTAAAACATTTTATAATATGATTCTAATGCGATTTGAAGGGCTTGAAGAGGTATATCACATCATTCAAATAGTTTATTTAGAACTGTGTACCGTTATTAAACTAAATCGGCAAGATGTTTATTGGAAGTAATGAGGACAGATTCTGTTCGGGGCAGGCCACCACCCATCGTGGCTTTCTTCTCTTAACGCGGCACCGCAATAATCGTCATAACCCTGACCTCCATTTTTGAGCCGCTTCTCATTCTTTAGGTTGGCAATCCCAAGGAGCAGTCTCGCAACGGAGATGAAAAGGAGAGAAACAAGATGGAGAAGAAAGAGGAGAGAGGCTTTCATCTCTACAGCTGTAATGAGAAGTGGGGAGCTCATAAATGAACTACGTGCTTTCCTTACGCTTTGGCATCTAATGTGACGACGCTGTGCCTCAGTGGGTCTCCAGTTTTAAAGAGTGCATCTATCCCCTGTAAACCGCTGATTCGAACGTTTATGAACAGAGAAAGTCGAACATAGAGATAAAATAACAAGTTTGCCCGAAATGGACGCGTGGAGATGAAAGAGTAGTGGGAAAGAGAGCGTTCGAGAGGAGAAAACGATATGTTGACGTACCGCAGGGTGGGGAGCCAGAACGACGCGTAGAAAAACAGTAAAGTGGAGCGATTGTGCGTTTGAGGGAGAGGTAGATGTACAGATTGGCTGACAGCTAGGATGAGTGTGGAGAGAATGGAGAAGGAGATGGAAGGAGGGAAGCCGAAGAGAGAGACTCAGACAGTTCTAGAGAGGTATCCCTTTGCCAGATAGACTTTGGCATGCTTTTGTCTTGGCTGGGCTTTAATCACACTCTGAACTTCCAAGCATTGATGTGCATACCTTCCCGTCAGATAAGGACTCGAGAGGACCCTTTGAACATACAGCCCACCTACCCTTGTACCATAATAACTCCGTTGACCAATCGTTAGTATCCACAGTGCTTTTCTCTGTTATAACGATACTCGTCTTGGAATATTTCTACGGAAGGTTCCTTCAGTGACTTCTACTTTTCCTTTGACTCATGTCTCCAAATGTTTACTCTTTCAGATTTTCAAAGAAAGCAACATTATGAGGTTTCAAAATGGATCCAATTCCTGTTGTAGCACACGCTTCGGATTTATTTTATTCTCTCGGAAAAGGGGCCACCCTATTTATGTTCTCATTCTCGAATGCCAGAGACAACGTCTACCTCTCTGCACGGCTGGATGGATCCGTGCACTCCACTGCTGATGCCCATCCGTCAAGTCGTGTTCTTCCCGGCGTCTTGTGGACCCACAGCCGCCGCCAAACCCCCTCCCTTCACATGGTCATGTCAGTGTAAGAGCACCGCGTGAAAAAGATAGGGTCCGCAATGCAGCAGCGGTGGATCCCAACGCCGCTTCCAGCCTCCAACCTCAAAATGAGCTTCCGCGTCTACCCGTGCTTCTTTCACCGACTGTTTCAACCCCTCTCGATGTTTGGCTGCGGCGTCTAGAGAAAGTCGGGATCTTCTGCAGACGATATGCACTAGGCCTACCGACAATTAATCTCTGCCGACAATAGGTGTCCCACTCTTTTTTCTTCTCTACTTATATTAATGAAAGACAATTAAAATACCATGTAGATTTGACCTAAGTTCGATGGTTTTCAAAACTGAAAATTTTTATAGATATCGTGGGGAGTTGTTCGAAGTATAAACATTTTCAGGCGAATTCATGCTTCGTATAAACATTCCAGTTGGTTATTAAGACTAATTTTCAATTTTTTATTACATGAAAACTGCGACTGAAGAATAATAAACTTTTTAAAACACCTTGACTTTGGTCTTAAACCCACCACATCTCATATTCCCGGAAACGCACGTCACATGGTGACAAGTATAGAAACGGAATCCACTAAATCTTTTGCTGAAATTATTAAAAGATTGCGATTAAGGTGCCAACTTTCTTCTTCAGTTTCCACCTGAGGATCGGCCGAGAAAGGTAGAAAAACGAGATGAGCTAAAAAATAATTCGAATATTTTATTAGGAACCAAACCGAAAGTAACAAATCTTATACACTTCAATAACGTAATAGATAAATTTGATGGTTTTCTTGACCATATTTCTGTTCTTCAAAGAACACCGAAACCAGGGAATACAGGCCACACAAAAATGACTTCCCTCGTCGCCTGAAGTGTGGAAGGTGCAGTCATGAAGGAGAATAGCATTAAATTTGACCGTTGTTAATTTCATTACGTTTGATAATTAATCGTTAACTGCCACAAGAATAATTTTTAGAATACGTAAAATCAACCAGCCCATCTAAGTCATTATAAATATTTAAAATAACTAAATGAATACCAAAACTATTTTAATGAATATTTCCTTTTGTGCGAGCTAATATATGAAAACTTCCTTTCAAGCCTGCTCTCATGTAGTTTTTCATGCAATGGATTACATTAATCCCTTAGCTTTTAGCAACGAGAGAGCCGTAGGGTACTTTACCCGAAATTCTAGCTTCTGTTAAAAGAAAAAGAAAAATTATAACCCTTCATCAAATATTGACTTATCATTGAAACAAAGATGACAATATACTTCGATTACAATTTCAAACTGATCACAGCTCGTTGACCTTTGCAAACGCACATCATATGGGTAGAAACGTTAAGATAAACATGTAGGAACTTTAGGTGAACTGGTGGAGTGACCCTAATTAAGGCGACCCGCCACTCACTGCCTTCTTGTGACCTCCAATCCCCCCACCGCCTCCAAATCCACCGCCGCCTCCAAACCCGCCACCATTGCCGAAGCCACCGCCAGCTCCCCCGCCATATCCGCCACCCAACCCTGCACCTCCTCCAACACCGCCACCTGCGCCACCGCCATAACCACCACCGGCACCAGCGCCAACGCCGCCACCTACGCCGCCCCCATAGCCACCACCAGCACCACCTCCATGCCCACCACCTACACCGCCTCCATAGCCGCCACCAGCACCACCTCCATGTCCGCCACCGGCACCACCACCATACCCGCCACCGGCACCACCCCCATGCCCACCGCCTGCACCACCTCCATACCCGCCACCGGCACCACTGCCGTGTCCACCACCAGCGCCGCCTCCATACCCACCGCCAGCGCCGCCTCCATGGCCACCACCTATCCCGCCTCCATACCCACCGCCAGCGCCGCCTCCATGGCCACTACCTATCCCGCCTCCGTAACCACCACCCGCACCACCTCCGACACCACCTCCTGCCCCACCCCCATACCCAGCACCGGCACCCCCACCATGTCCACCGCCGAGACCGCCACCATACCCACCCCCTGCACCTCCTCCATGTCCACCGCCGAGACCGCCACCATACCCTCCCCCTGCACCCCCTCCATATCCACCACCTAGACCACCGCCATACCCACCCCCTGCACCCCCACCGTAGCCTCCTCCTACACCGCTGCCACCTCCGTATCCACCTCCGAAACCTGCTCCTCCCCCAAAACCACCGCCAAAACCCCCACCTCCGCCTAGGCCTCCGCCATGCTTGAACCACTTCTCATCCTTCAATTCCCCAGTCTCCTTGAGCGTTCTTGCACTGGAATTGCAAAAGAGAGCCCCAAGGAAAAGAAGGAAGAAGATCTTGCCGCTCATCTCTACTACTTTAGAGTGAAAGTACTGGGACTTTTGTTGTGGATGTGGAAGGAAAGAGAACGGGGCTTTATATAGGTGCATTCTCTGGGACAGTTGAGAAGTTCTTAAATGAAGGAACGTGATTTTCTACCTCCTTACCTCTGTCGTCACGACGATATGTCTCCGGTGGGGTCTCCAGATTTAATGAACTCAACCGTTTCCTTCTCCAAACAGCTGTTTTGCATATACATGCACAGAGACGCGAAAAAGTCCTCGCCGACACATCCACGTTACATAGAGGGGTTATTTTGCACACACTTGCATGCAGATAGAAGAAAAGAAACATTTTCAAGAAAACTGAGAGAAAGGTAAAGGAGAAAGAAGAAGGGAGACAAGACAAAAGTATAGATAGGGTGATAGATAGAAATATGCGGAGAAAGAGGACAGAGTAAATGGAGGGAGGGGATGCGTATAAGAAAGAGGAAGGGACGCGCACACAAGGAGAGAAGCATTCAAAGGATAGACGAGACCTATGGAAGCATAGACAAGGAGAGAAAAGTACAGGGCACACGCATGCACACAAGAAAATGGACCAGTGGAAACATAGAGAAAGATACAAGAGAGATAACGTACAAAGGTTGATAATTAGAGAAATGCAATGAAAGTGGGGAGATCAGAGTTAGGGAAGGGGGAGAGGGAGAGAAGACGGCAGGTCGGTTCCTTGGTCCTCACATTTTCAGGCAAAAAATGGCGACTGGCTTTAATACGCGAAACCTCTCTCTTACCAACTACATGCGTGATCGTTCTCGTTCCCAGTCAGTCATCTGATACTACTCTTGAAGAGAGGCCGCTTTCGATGTCATCGTTCTCTTACAGCTATTTTTGTCCATTTCATTCATCACTAACTTGGGCTACAGTGAATCATCCATCGACGTGGGGTTCCCTGTCCATTGACGTAGAGTTTGCGATGGAGCGAGAGAGAGAGAGAGAGAGAGAGCAAGAGATGAGGGTATATTATTTTTCTTTCAATTGGAATTCTGTTGTTATTATATAACTTACTCACTAAAAAGTGGAGGAAACTTTGAAATTTTCATCAAAGTCCAGAAATATTTGGCAATTTTCTAAAAATATCTATTCTTTTATATTTAGAAGTCATTTCTAGCACTTATTGAAGACTCAATCGCTGAAATTTGAATTCAAGAACGTAACCTATTTTGGTCGTGTCGTATCAGATCACCAACTTGTAATCAGCAATATGAGGTGCCATTGACGTTGAAAGTTTCGAACTGTTTTACTTTGTTATCTTATAAGGTATTCCCTCAAACTGATGTGGCCATAATCAAGCCCGTAAGTTATAATATGATGGTATGTAATATTTTACACCGAACTCAGTGACGTTCCTTCATGGACATTAGGTAGTGAAGAAAAAATATTTGGTGACAAAGTCAAAAAGCTTGGAGGATGAAGATATCTGACGGAGTGCACGGGCAAGAATGTTCTCGAATCGCAAATGTGTTAGTGAGCTCATGCTTGCCTGGATCCTATCCTTCGTTAATAGTGCTACCTTCGTCGTAATGTTGATAGATTGGTAGCAAGCTACCAAGCCTATCTGACTACCACAACAGTATTAATGGCTCGTGCTCGAAATCCCGCGTTATCCGGAACAGTGAACAATATTCCGTTTCAAAACTTAGAGAATAGAAGAGAATTACGAAAAACGTACAATGTAGTAAGCAATTGACTGTCCTAGAGATAACTGGGGAGGTTAATCAAAAATATTTGAACTTATTAGAACGCTAAGGGACCTGATCGGGGGATCCTCATTCTAGTTCTGTGGGCTGCAATCCAATCGCCCATCAGTCTGGTTTTCCAACACTGGACTTCAAATTAGCTCGTTATCATAGAAAAGTTGAAAAATGTTGGTGTTTTATAGAAAAGTATTATTTTTGTCTTTATGCGAATTTTTTTTAATCTCCTAGTTATCATAGAAAAATCTTCCAAGTCTTTTGAATCACTTAAATATTCCTCTCCATGATCAGACAAATATTTTTTTTAGTGCATTTTTCTAAGTTTTCAATTTAACTAATCGAGTTTCATATTTTAGAAGTGCGATCCTAGTAAACCATCCAAACATAATTTTGTCAGGTATTTAGCTTACTCAATTATAGTCACTTTTCCTCTAGATGAGGGAGTAAAAACATTAGAATTTTTCTATTTATCTTCGATGCTGTCTATGTTTTTCTCAAGATTTTTCAGACCCTTTATAATGTTTATAAATATAATCAGCCATATCAAAAGTTATTTCCTTCTCAATTATAGTAAATAGTTCATAGTCAGAAATCAATTGATGAATTCCGGTCTCCAAGACTTGAGCTATCTTCATAAATTACCTATAATACATTCCAAATTCTTTTACTAGAATCACAGGTCAAGGTCCTCTCAAATTCTTTTGAATCTAACCCAAACATTAATACATTCTTGGGTCTATCATTCAGCGAAAAAGTGTTTCTCTATTGATCACTAGATACATCTTCAATTTCAAAGTGACCAGCCATAATTATTTTCCATAATTGGTAATCAAAAGCCAAAATAAATATTTATCTCTTTTTTACGAAAATAATTAATTCAATCCATCAGATACGCTCTATTTATATAAATACCAGTTATGTTATTTTTAATATGTCAGTTATCTTATAACTTCTCCCAAAAATAATTTATCTTACAAGCGTAGACTAAGTCATGATTCTAATTATTGATTTGAAGGCCACACTTGAATCAAGGAGGCATCACATAGATCTTATCCTAATTTTGACTATGACTCAACCCTTCTTATTTTCCTGATATTTGATTTCAATCAGAAATTTTCTTGGATCTCTAATATCTAGAACTAGATGACACCAAATATATACTAGTTTGACTTCTAGTCTACGTCCACACTCTAAAGAACACCAAATTTTTGGAGTCTCATAAACAACTATTTAGTAACAATTTTTCATTACAGGGCTCAACTCCCTAAAACTTCACTTATAAATTATTTTCTGTGTCTTTTACTCTAGGTGGAAAAAACCTAATGACAAGGCTCACCTCCCTTGGGTGATTAAGTCAAATTTGATCCCTAGTTTATGCCACAAAGTAAAGAAAATATCACCATTGGCCTTTCTGAATATTTGATGTTGATTGGAATTACATCTGAAAATTCAACAGAGTATGCCACTTTATTTTTTTCCTCTTTTTATTCAAATATGCTATCTAATTCTAGAAGGCGTTGTCACTGAAAGAACATTCAGGATTGTTAAAGGATCATGATTTGCCCATCAACGTGTTGCCTTTTCTTCATCATGAACACTAATATACTAAATAAGGTTCCATATTAGTTTTTTTAAATTCAATATTTACGTAAGATCTTATGCCAGATTATTACTTTCCATCAATGATAATTTTTCTAACTATTGAGAGTTTCCACAAGAATAATAATGTAGTGATTTTAAGCAGTAAATGTGTCATAAATCTGGAGTTCAATTAAACACATTTGTCAAACTCTCTTCTGATCATTAAGATGTATATTTTTAATGAATTTATACTTATTTATTTTATGCATATGCCCAACAGATCGCTCGTGTATTACATGTACATGAACTATTCATTATAATTTAATCATATTATTTATCTAATATCCATTTTTGCATCATCAAAATATTTTTAGAGGAAAACTAAGGCTTCCAAAGCCAACACTTCAGACTTTCTTAATTGATCTCATCAGTAAAGCCAAACAAGTATACTATTTTTCTCAATCTTTCAAGTTCAACAACAAGAGAATACTTGATAAATCCATTTAAATTATGGATTTAAACTTAAGATGGGAAATCTATTTGAACATTATCTGAAATAAAGGTTCAGGTTCAAGATTGAAACGTTGGTCAAAGAACATATTTAAAAAAATATATTCGAATTATGAAAGGGATGATCCCTTGTCATTTTTAGGGAACTATATATTTAAATAATGAATAATAAAAACGTGCATTAGAGTATGTATGCGTAATATTGAGTGAATGCTCTACAGGAAGCCGAAAATACTGTCTTCAGCGTCTTGATCCAACTGGGTATTCCAGCTGAGTAATCCACTTTGGAGATTTCTCCTTCAGTACTTCATCTTATAGTTGGGTTTAAAATACATGAGTAGATTTAATCCTTCGTTGACGATGACAGAAAAAACAGTGTCTAAGAACCTCCTGGTTTATCTGCGATGCCAGAATTTCACCAGGAAGGTCCATGTCTTCTAAATGAAATGAACTGGAAATATCTAGAGCTCGGAACCTAGGTCTCCTTCGAATTCATGGGGCGAATGTTGTCTCCTAATGGAATGATGGATCTAAATATCGGTCGCCAGCCCCCACGGCTCGACCCTTCGACGATGGAGGAGAAGAAAACGCTGAGGGCAACGGTTTCTGATCGGAGAATCCTACTCGTCAACAGAAGAGCGAGGAGAGCGGGCTTCAAAGGAAAAGGCACCAGTTTGTCTCTCCTCAGGCCGTGGCAAGAGGTGGTGGGCAAAACTCAGATCATGCCAAGAGCGCTGTCAGTCGTCGAGATGGGTGCAGGTTCTGCTTCGCGCAGTGATCTTTTTACTGGGACATTCCTGTGTGAAACGAAGAACGATGAACACAAGGCGAGTCTCTTATTCACATCATAGGAAACCAAGGTAAAGGAATTTATATATGATAATGAATAATTATATTAAAGTTGAAGAATTGAATGATTTCGTTGCAGATATTACTAGGGTGTTAGGTAAAAGCTGAAATACAGAAATTGAACAGATTTGAAGAAAATCAAACAGAAAAATTGCAGTACAGTCAGATTTGAACAGATTTGAAGAAAAATCAAATAGAAAACTTGAAATCCCTATATATGGTAACATTCATCGTAGTAATTACATTTTAATTCAAAATGACATGTTTGTAAAAGCTATAGCACAAAATGTTGTTCATATTATCAGCTAGGTGATAATAGAACGAAACAAGGCTTAAAAATAATTATTCTTGTATGTTGAATTTTGGAAACAATAAACCCATATTGAAACTTGGGTTAGAATATAGATATTGTTCATTTTTATAAATTATTAGATTTCAATCTATACTTAATGTCTAGTGATTTGAGTGTCACGCTAAAATTTTGGCATAAGCAGTTTACATATAGCACTCAAACCATCGTAGCATGAGCGCTTGGTGAAAGGAATGTTTGATCTGAAAATCAATGAGTTTTAATTAAAAAACTGGATTATAGGAGAATATGTTAGAAAAGTCACAAATACAAATATCTGATAACAATTATCCGACCACTAGAACAATTCTATATATTTATTTTGACCAACTAAAGTAACAGACCTTTGTGGAAAGAGATGGATACATAATTATATATATCATTCAAGATATACATCCATATTTTTTCAATCAGTTAAATGATACATTTGAGATGTTTAACAAGTTTTGTGAGAAAGTTGATTATAGGAAAGAATTGAGAACTTATAAATCTGAAGCAATCACATTGTACAATTTGAAAACATAAAATTTAAGCTTGTTAATGCACAAAGAACATTTTATTAATTCCCTAGTAAAAAAACGCAACAAGAAAATGTCATTTTAGAAAAAAAGAATACAAACTTTCTTGATGTATCAAGTACTTTGTAGCTGAAAATTATTTTCCTACGTATTATTTTGGGTGAAGCCAACAAATACACCCTTGAACACTATGATCATACTATAAATACACCTTTATATGCTCAAAAAAAAATTATGAATTATGGAAATAAAAGAATCCAATTTTGGGCATGTGTTTTCCTCTAATAAGTATTGAGGAAATGGGAAACTTTTACCCAAGAACTGATAAAAGAATTTTTCTTGGCTATTATAAAAAGAATATTTCGAATGTATTGTAAGAAAAAAATGGTTTTGGAATAGACTATAAATATGATATTTATAGAAGAACACTATAGTAAACTTTATCTTCATAAAAAGTTGAGGATTACTATAAATTAAATTTCTAGATATTTCAGTTAACAATGATTTAGAAGTTAATTATAGAGAACATCAAAAAACAAAACCTTTATGAGAGAATGGAAGTATGTTAAGTGTCATCAAGAAGATTAAATTTTGGAAGATGTGCAAAACGCAATTAAAAAAATCAAAATCGACAAATAAAAAATATGAAATTTAATTTATGAAGTTCAAGAAAATAATGTAGAAAATATTTTAAGGATGGAAATTACATTTTGACAATGTCAATGGTGTGGAATCAGTTTGAACAAAGTAAAATGCAAACATTAGTTCCTCAAAAATCTGAAATGCTTTAGTAGGAATTAAATGGATCTTCAAGGTTAAATTAAATGAATAGGATAAAGTAGTTTGGACTAAAGTTAAAATGGTTAGGAAACGTTTTAGACAAACCAAGAAAATTGACTTGGATATATCAGATGTTCAATATTGAGATTTTATGTTAGTAGAATTTTGTGACCCTACATTTGTGTTATAAATATTATATTCTACGAAATGGATGTGAAAAACATTTTTATAAATATAAAAATTAGAAAAACAATTATATGAACCGACCTCCTAGTTTTCAAAATTCAAAACACCCAAAGAAAACCATATTAGTACATTAACTATTATATTTACAAAAGAAAAGGATGACTATACGTGCATTAATGAGATAATATTTAGTTTCCCAAATGAAAATTTGATCCATGGTTTTTAAAATATCATAAGAGAAGAATTTTAAGTGAGCCTCATCTGGTAACTATTATTTTCTTACCTGAAAAATCAAATAAAAAAAGGTTCTATTTTAATCTCTAAATTAGATCATAGTAAGGAACTCTTAGGAAACTATGATCTATGTAGTAGGAAAGAAAAAAACCAAGACATTACAAGGTCATTAACTGATCTCAGTGAAATGGGACACTAATAAATCATAAAATTAATAGAGGAATGATTGGACATCTATTGTCTTTAATTAGAAATAGACCTGACATAAAGTTTGATATCTATTTTATCTACAAGATTTTAAGGTGATTCAAAGGAATCACACTTAACAAAAAATAAAATAATTTTTACATATATATATCTCATAGAATTATTTTATTTCATTGATAAAAAAGTACAGAAAAATCATGATCGGTGCTAGGAGGATACTTGATTTCTTAGGCATTTAATAGCCAGGCCACTATTTCTTTATCAATAATTCTAGCACAGTATACATTTAATCAGTAGAATTTAAATTAAAAAAAATTGAATATGAAATGCATATGATGATATCCATTAAAAGAATAAAATATATTCATAGATGTTAAATCAGTAACATTTAACTGTGTGATAATGCTAGTGTTACTAACATAGCCAAAAATCTGATGATACACTATACAATAAAGGATGACATTTTGAAAATCATTTTATTCTAGAGGACATAATATTAATCATAAGGCTTGTAGCAAAAAAGAGAGATTTAGTTCAGCCTAATATCAATTTATAAAATAAAGAACAATGACTATAGAAATAGATGAGAAAACAAATATATAAAGTCAAATAGATAGGATAGCCGAGCCATTACAATTTATAACAGCATATTAGTCCAAGAAGCATTACCCTATGATAATATCGATTCATAGGGACAGGAAAATGAAAAGCTATTTTAATTCTTAATTAATTTTACTTTTCCCATTTATGTTTTAACTAATTCAAAATCCAAATCATTTCATCAAATGATATCATTAGATAACATGAAGATATTACCCAATTGCACCTCTAGTTTCCTCATAAGGTGATAGTTGAAACATGTACGAGTATTTTATAGTTGAAATTAACTTCAATGTTTAATCATATTTAAATTTTGGAATTTTTTTTAAAATTTGTGATGCAATTTTTAATTGATTATCAAATGTCTTAAATTATTATCTAGTGTAAACGAGATGCATGAAAATAATGAAAAAGTTGGAAAATGAAAACGCATTTAAGAAAAGAGAATTAGATTCGAAACATATGCCAAGGATAATGATCTCAAGATGGAAATAATATCTCTGACCGTAACATTTTGTTTCATTCTTTTTGTATGGTAAAATTTTCAATTGAACGAATCTTCTTGATCAACTCTTTGCCAATTTTATTCAAGAAAAGAGTCTTGCTAACAGCATGAATGATCACACAAAATCTAATATCAGATTTCGTAGGTTTAAATAACACTTACAGAAAAGAGATCTACACGAATTCTAAGTCCTACTCAATCCTCAACAACGCCTATGATTCTCCAAAGTTGAAAACTGTAATGATTAAATCTGAACCGCAGGATCTCTGCTCTTCACACTCAAATTTACTGAGAAATACGATGCAAATCTTGCGAAACTTACTATTTTGCAGCTTTAGATGAGACAAGCTTATCTTCAAGCTACCAGCTCTATGTAATTCTTTAGAACCGTGTGATGTCTTCACTGATCTTTAATCATTTCTGATTTTATTTGAATCTGAGGAAGTATCCACTACTGATTTCCTGAATTCTTACCTTTCATAATCTAAAATCCTTTTAAAATTATGATATACAATAACTAGCTCTTTGGACTCTAATAGATATTTCTGCCAATCTTATAGAGACAAACAATCTCTAGAAAGTAGCTATCACATAAATTACAACATATGAGGAAGATAATACTCATGAGACAGTACCCAACAATACTTCTTACATAGATAATATTGAAGTAGATATTACAGGTTTCACCAACTTTTGAAAAACTTTCTGATATTTCTCTTGTATTGATTTATGTTCCTGATTGAAGCTGGATGACTCGATTTCATTGTCAAAAATATATAATTTACCATAAATTTGTCACAAAATTATGTCAACATACATACATGTCAAATGGAACCTTTCTTTAAAAAGTTAGAAGAAAATTATTCCTACTTAGATATCATATATTGTTGAAACTTTACAAATAGCAAATGAATGAACTATCTTTGATTAACAAAGAACAGAGGAAGTTTGGCTTCAGTGCTAAATACTGAAACCAACCAAATCTGACAACATTTAGATAAAGGAAATCCAAGAAAATTTATGATTGAAACAAAGGTATCAAGAAAAGAAGTATAGTTGACTCAAAATCAAAGATGTGATAGGATCAATTCAGACCTTGATTGATCCAAGTGCTTGCCTAAATACAACGTTAAGTGGCTATTCCTTACAAAATGTATATTTTCCTATTCCTAAAATAATAACCCTAGAAAAATATTCAATATATCAAACTGGAGTATATTAATTGAAGGAGTTTTGACTTGAGAAAACAAAAAGTTTCATTCCAGAAACGTACCTTTTTATGCCTCTTTCACAATTAAGCATGGAAATTACAAATGTTTAGTGCTTTCTAATATTAAAATATTTTCCTGGGTTTTAGTGAATTAAATATTTAAATCTAAAACAAGTGTAGGTCGACTAAACATAATTATGAACGTTTATTTTTGTGCACTTTACATCAAATTAGCATAACTTCACAACATTAAGTGCTTTCACTGCGTATTATCTCTTAAATTTGCTTCAAAATAAAACAAAATGTCGCTTATGAGAATATCTCAGAAAGAGTGGCCTTGAGAAATTTTTCAGATTAATAATGATCATTCGATATATATCTCGGGTTTAAAAGATTGTTTGACATGCAACATAGTTAACGTAAACCAAAAATAAAATTACATGTGTTTTACAAGGATTCATATTTTATCTCGATTGTTTTATGGATACGTCTAACAACTTCCAACACCCTTTTCACGTCGGCTGGTGGAGTCATATTCCAGCATCATCATTTCGAGCACTCGGAAAATTTCACTGTTGATCTGTACACTCATCATCTTCAGAACCATACGGCTTTACTACTATGGAGGAGGTTTTCCGTTTCGGGGATTTACCGTTGCCTCTTTTAGCCATGAACATCAACGGTAGGAAAGAACAGAATCTCGAACATTACGTCATGATTATATCTCTAAGCAGAGTACATGTCGTAGGGTTTACAAGGGTGCACCACGTGCAAACCTTTTATTAAGATACAGATATAGACGGATCCAGTAGATTTGTGCGGCCTCTTTCCCTGGAACAGCATCTTCTTCCTCATGGCGACTCGTCAGTGACAGCCGCTTTCTTGTAGCCGCCTCCTCCGCCGAACCCTCCTCCACCACCGAAGCCACCGCCAGCTCCTCCTCCGTATCCGCCGCCGATCCCCGCTCCTCCGCCGTATCCACCCCCTGCACCTCCTCCGAAGCCGCCACCTCCGCCTCCTCCGAAGCCGCCACCGGCACCTCCTCCGTATCCGCCGCCTACACCACCTCCGTAGCCACCGCCTACGCCGCCGCCGTACCCGCCACCTACGCCGCCGCCGTACCCACCGCCGCCTCCAAAACCACCACCGGCGCCGCCTCCGTAGCCCCCACCTACACCGCCTCCATACCCACCACCGGCGCCGCCTCCGTAGCCTCCGCCGAGACCGGGGAGCCCTCCATAGCCGCCACCAATGCCAGGCCCGACGCCGTAACCCCTACCATACCTTGGATGGCCGCCATGTTTGTACCACCATTTCTGGTCCTTCAAGGGCTCGTCTTCGAGGAGCCGCCTTGCTCCGGAGGTGCAGAAAAGGGCCACAAGAAGGAGAAGGAAGAGGGATTTGCCGCCCATCTCTACTGCTGTACTATGAGAGATCAGGGCTCGTTGTGGACGACGAAGGGGAGTACCCGGGGTTTTATATAGATTCTGGGAAGGCTTGCATGGGCTGGGACAGTTGAGGAGCTGTTAAATGAGGGACTTATTTCCTCTTCCCCTACGACATGATGTGTGGCGGCGATTACTAGCTCCGTGAATGCTACTTCAGTTAATGTATTCAACCGTCCTCTTTTGTCAACTCCACAACTGTTTGCACCCGGGGGAGAGAGAGAGAGGGGGAGAGGACAACAGGACATGATCAGTAGAACACGCAGAAAGGAGAGCTAGAGAGATAGAGAAGCGAAACAACGAGGCGTATAGCGAGGGAGATTTCGATGGACAGATAGAAAAAGGTTGAAAAAGAAAGAAAGATGGGGACGTAGCGAGGGCGTTACGAGATCAATGAGACAGATACACAGAGAGAGAAAGAGAGTAAAAGGAAAAGAAAGACTGAGACGCATAGCAACAAAGATAACAGATGTTGGACAGAACATGTGTAGAGAGAGAGATAGAGAGAGAGAGCGAGAGGATGTCTTCCTTTCCTCGATTGACAGCTGGATGGATGTGGCAGCCAGCCGTTGGATTTTAATTAACGGACAGCTGGTCTACTACCCCCGTCCATTTGTTTCCACGAATCCATCTGAATGTTATTATTTCCATTTCAGTTCTATCCCCAGAAAAAAACCGTTGACCGAGTAGATATAGGTCACTGAAATTTTCATAATGAGCACGGTCTCATATTTGTAGCTGGATGGCACCAGCACCTTCCCTTGAGGCATAGTGGCTACAAAGGAAAATAAAACAATCTTCGTTTTTTAAAAAAAAAGATTAGAAGAATCACGGTATCCTCAGCGTGAAAATCGTTTCTTCTTTCCTTCCCAGCAAACTGAAGGGGCAGTCACAGGAATTCCGAGAAATGGCAACCTTGCATCTGCGTGTAGCGGCTCCTATGTGGAGGGAATCCCGTTTTTCCGAGAGAACACTCGATTGGATTCCACAAGAGAAAAAAATTCCTACACGTATCTCATTAAATTTGTCTGATTCGATCATCAGCATTAAAAATGTCGTTGACCCAATAAAGTCAAGAGGTAGCTTGGTAGCTGATAATGATTTTGAACGTTTGGATTTGTTTTATGAAAATAAATTTACTGTGTCCTCGTGCAACCATACAAATACTGTATCATCTTTGACATTTAGGATAGGAAAGTAATTGCGTCAATCTCTCTCTCCCTCTCTCTCTCTCTCTCAAACACAGACACATACGATGGAGCTTTCCCTTGCGAAGGTCCTTCGACTTGCGTACATAAGCTAAAAGTGAGATCACTGGGAATGCCAAAAGCTTCCTCTTCGTAAGAGATTAATAAAGCGACGTATATGCTCTAGATTGCGTACACAAGATAAGTCACAAAACTTTTAACTTCAAAGATATTTGGAAGTTCACGGGCTATTGGGGCTTGTGGGGCAAAAGCGAATTGGGTAGTCGAGGCAGGGGCTGAGGCCTAATGAATGCATCACGCCTTCATCATGCATTACAAGGAGTGGTCATACTCCATGCTGCATTAACAAATTGAATCTCGCAACTAATTTTGAAAGCATTGAAGGAGATCTATTGCTGTGTACATTAATTAGAGAATAATTCAGGAGTTTGCTTGCACCTTAATGTGCTTCCAGGGAATTAGCCTAGTGTGAACCTATGACTGTTATCACAGTGTTCTTAGATTATTAATAACATGTAAACAGTACTTAAAATAAAAATAAGATAATAATCATGCATGGAAGGTATTAGTCAGAAAATAGTAGGGGTTAATCATCCAACATGACCTCACCTGTCCGTATTTTCCCATGTGAGGCCAATTAGTAATGTATTGTTGCAACAGAACACGGTGTATCTGATTCTCGTAAAATTATTTTTCATGTCGAATTTTTATGATCTTGGGTTCTTCAATTTCACAACTTTCAAATAGTAATTCGAAAAGTATCAGTGAATTAAATTGGAAAGAATGTAGGGCATGCAACATTCTACTGAGTCACAGGGGGTTGACTTGGAGTCTACATCTACCATAGAGATTGAAAGAATTCCAGTGTTAAACAGAAGTACAAAAAAGAGGCTAATAAAATTATAAAATAGAAGAGCACGTGTTCCAGGCTATCACTAGTTAATTAAATTCAACTTAATCAACCATTCCTTTAAGTTCTTTCTTTCCTCAGATAACGAAAACAGCATAAATGTTGATCACCTTCTACGTGTTTTTTTATCCATTTTAATTTTTATATCTGGGTCACTATGTTTAAGGATTCAACCATAGAAATTAAATACTTTCCATGGATGTGGTACGTTGTTATTGGTGAGTTTCCAAGAAAATATACAGCTCATAATCAACCCACCAATCCCACAGTTAAGTGTCATTAATATTTGAATAACTTACAAAATTAGGAGGGGTGTTCAAGATAAAAGTCCCCCTGGCAAAAGCTTCCAAACCATGGAAATGATTCCAGCACCGCATGACCATTCATCTGCCCTCAAACAATGCAATAAACTTTTCAGTAAAAAAAATTTGCTTGGATGACCACAAGATGATGCTGAAATAGTTACAATGATATACCATTTAGGCAGAAATGAACCTTGCCCAAAAAATACTGTCTCCTAGAACCAATCTACATACTGTTCTATCATAGCTTACTCGATGGTGAATTACTAGAGATTTTCCCCTTGATACGAGGCTTCAAGTCATTTGATATTGCACCTTCTCCACGTCTCTCAGCAAGAAATTTCGCAAAGCGAGATCCTTTCCCCTCCTTGCCGTTCAAATCCGCATGAGGAAGCTGTGGTCTAGAACTAGGTGGCGGCGGAGGCACCAATGCCCAGATGGAAGAAAGGAGTGCATTAGGTTTGTCCAAGATATCCAAGAAATGTCTATCAGGCTTCTCTGCGGGTACCAATCCAACCAGATGAGAGAGGGTTTCATTTTAGACATGCGGTGATATTTAATTCTTGAAATAATGAATGAAACTCATGAATAGGAATACCTGCAAATTCGAATACTGGTTTCAATGCGGCACATGGCAGGCTAAAATTTAGGTGTGGTATGGTAGTCCCTCCAGCATGCTTCACATTGCTGTCACAGTTACAACAAAACGGAAACTTACAAGCATGGACACATTTATTACTATATGTGTTCAGAAGTCTGAAGGTTTACCTAGTGATAAGACCAGCCATCCGACCATCTAAGCTGATTACGGCACCACCGCTCATTCCTGGATATACTGCAGCTGTTGTCTGAAGCATTACTGGGACAGATTCATGCTTACTTCGGTGCTCTCCCTCCTGGTTGACCGAATAAGGCAATTGCGACTCCACTATTTTCGTCACCACTCCAGAGGAAACATACGGACGAATGTCTGCGAATGATAAAAAGATTCTGAAAATGTGAAATATTAATAATAATAAAAATAAATTTACATGAAAACATGTATCGTACATGTTGGAGTTATTGGAAAATCCAAGTCAATATGTCGTACTTGGCTAGAAGTAGGCCTGTCTTTATAACCACTTAATTACTTGTATAATAATATTCAGGACAATTTTTGACATGCCTTCTCAGTACTCAAACCAACTTTTGGGTTTTATCACATAAACAACACAGAAGGTTAAGCTCAGATCTAGAGCAAGCACTACCCCTGAAACCATTAAAGTAATTGGGCAATTGAACTCAAAGCCTAGTGGTTACAGCCCGGTGTCTATAATCACATGTTGATTTCTACAAAAACCTATACGGGAAGATTATAAATAGAATCTATTTTAGCACAGTAGAAGCCTTACCAGATCGAGGTCCAAAGGGCCCATGACCAATGGCATGCACTCTAGAGCCCGCAGATGGGCAGACAAAGTCTGGAACAATGAGATGTAGCCGTTGAGGAACAAGGTCAAGCTGCAGTAAGGCAATATCCAAGGGGCCTTTTGAAACATAAACCACATGCGCATCTGACCAGATCAAGGGCTCTGTATGATTCAGCCGCACCCGTATCCTTTTATAGCCTTTGTAACCTGGACCCAAAAGAGTAGCTTGGTGCTCACTATCCACAATCTCTGCCGTTTTCAATAGTGATTGTGGTGACCTTCTTCCATCCAGAAAGAACGGCTCCCCCTCTAAGGCAGAAAAAACTGATTCTTCATTTTCTGAATCAAGGAGAGCATGTCTTCGGAATCTCCATGGCTCTAGTAGATGGGCATTGGTGAGGATGAGGCCATGCTTGTTGACTAAAATGCCAGAAGCCCAAGCTTCGTCACCCATTGTAATCAGAACGATGGATGAGACCGCTTTCTCCAATGGGGAATCCAAAGAGTCAACTGACGCCTTCTGTGATTTCTGGTCACCCTCATCCACTGTTATATGCCTTTCGAGATCACTACAGCTGGCGCATATCGCATCCCAGGTGATCACAATCTGTTCATGACAGGATTAGATTAAGTCAGATGATAAAAGCAAATCAGGGAGAATCATCGAGATAGTCCACAACACCTGTATCTCCACACTACTGTTCTTTTGCCTTAAAGGTCTGGTAACTATCCCTATAAGATTTTCCTCCCTGTCCAAAACAGGCCCGCCTTCCATCCCTGAAATTGAGTTCAGGTGACTTGTACTGTTTGAAACACTGGATTCATTTGGATTGAGAGTAAGAAAAGAGAATGGTGAATGGAGTTTTACCAGGAAGGCACCGGATATCAACCACCAATAATGACCCACGAGAATTCTGGGGGCAGACGTTTGCAACAGCTCCAACAGATACACTGGATGAAGCAGAAATATTATTTTAACATTCTTTTTGCGGTCTGTATTGTAATCGAATGAATAAATTTCCCATCAAGCTGAACTGGAAAACAGGCATACAGCGTGCTCAGAACCGAGGGTTTTCTAAGGATACCATAATAATCATCCTTACTCTCAGCACTAGTGATGGAAACCGAAAAGTGTAAACATTACCCAAATCAAAGCATATTAAATGATGATTAATATTCACCATATTTGCATCTTATAGAGCGTTTAGTAACTCCAATAACACAATTTTGTCACCGTTACTCCTTTCCGGTGACTGTGAGGGAGAAACTCATTATCACTGTTGCCTTTCTGGGATGTTCTTTCAAAGTTTAGGAAGTAGGGAAATCGATCAATTGAAGAAAAGAAAGGTGATCCTTTTACTGGAATTTCAAGCAGATTTTTCTTCTTGGATAGTTTTGGGTTCCGACTCAATCCAATCAAAGCACGTCTGCTTATTGAAGACATTACAATCCGAAGACCAAAGAATTAAACACATTCACAGAAAGCCATCTGCTGTCGTTTAGTCTAACTATGAAATTATTTTTTAAGAGTTCAAATCGCCACTCCATTCTGAGTTGAGGAATTCAGCGTAAGCTCAAGAGGTAAGTTGGTCGATAGCAGACCAATCCAACTTGCGTCATATCAGATCAGCCAACTTAGCTCCGACCCATGTAAACAATGAACAAAGGAAAAAGTTTAAATAGTACATTTGGAGTTCAAAAACTATACATTTCTTAATAGAGCCAATAACAGCAAACCAACTTTGTTACTAAACTTTATCCCAGCTTACAAATCATTCTAACCCAAAATCCCAGGGAGCGGCAGGCCAGACGGCATCAGGTTGGCGAACATGATACTGGGATTTAGCAGCAGTCATAACCAACATTATAATTAAGGAATAGTTGACCCTTATTTGTGTAACTTTTCAGAAGGTTGGTCCGCAGAATTATATCTACAGTAGACATGGAATTCAGAAAGGAGAGAGAGTAGTGAGGTGGTCTTGATTTTCTATGGAGGGGAAAGTTTGACCAGGGCTCTTCTACATCAGTGTAATCTAAGACATAACTATGTAGCCACAGTTTCTATCCGAAAGGAACAATTCGCTACAGAATATTACTCAGGCGTTAAAGTTTTTATGGAACCATGGACAAGGCTCTACAGAAGTTCAATCAAGAGTCCAAGATAGCACGAACCACAATAACATCATTTTGATGCAACTACTCCAGTAAAGAAAGAAATATGAACCCAAAAATATCACATAAAGGCATACAAATTACCATTCCAAATCAACACGTTGTTTATGGTAACAATGCAATTCAAACAAGAAGAATTCTAAACAAACCAAGACTCAAATAGCAATCTAAAAGAGGATATGCATCACCTGTTTAGAAAGTGTGAAGGAGAGAGAACTCCAAAAGGAGACCCCATCGCTAAGAGGAAATCTCCCCTCCTCTGCTCATGAGACACATTTACTGGCGGAAAATCCTGGATAGCCATTTAAATCTGTAATCCTTGAAGATTGTGTAGGATTGCAAGTCATAAAATATATTTCCAAGAAATTGTTATTACGTCATGCGGATGACATTCTGGCAATCAGATATCAATCTTGGTAATTCAATAAACCATGAGATCTGCACCTTTGCATTGACTGTTGGAAGCCTTAGGAATGCGACTCTGGTTGATATGGGCATTTGATGCAAATTGGTTAATCCAAGAGCTTCCAACTTTGGTATATGATCTCCAGCTTTAAACTAAAATGAATACCAGCAGTAAACACTTTATACAAGATTTACTCTTTATTATTCATCACAAAGAGCAAGAAGATTGTAGGAAGAAATCCAAATTCTATACAAAGTAGCCAGACTAAAATAGTATGTCATCAACAAATTTATTTATTTATTTTCATGTTCGACATTGGATGGATTAAGAATAAAATGTTCAAAAATAAATACTATCTTCCAACAAAAATAAAAACAAGAATACCTCAACATCAAAGGATGTGGGAGGGGAAAAAGACTACCTAAGACATTTATGGGAGAATTTAGATATCAATGTAGGACCCCTTTATGCAATATCAATGCTCCATGGAGACAAATCGAATATGGATGGCAATCCATTTAATAACTAAGTTGATAAAAACCAGAAGCATTTTTCTGTAATTGAAGTGACGTCCATTCGATGCAAAGAGAGGTCTTTACGTGGAAGAAGTAATATTAAAAGAAGAAGAATTCACCTCTTTTTGAAAAGAGTTCAATTCTGACCGAGAAGAACTATTATCCAGACGAGCCAACATCCACCCCATTTCCCAGGAGCCATTATCAGTTGAACTACTGTTACTTCGGACCAGAGATTGCAGGGCAGAAGAAGAGACAGCAACGTCAACCTGGTAGATAATCCATGTAAAAGAAATAATCTTCACAGAACTTTCTTCAATACACTAAAAAAATACACAGCCACTCACGATGCATTCCGGCCAATGAGAAAGTCGAACGAAACATTATCTTCTATGAAACCATGATTTTATTTGACAGAATAATTAGGCTAAAGGACCACTGTTATTCATGATTCATAAAGTTCTCATTAATTCACTGAAGGGTTCTCTTTCTCAAGCAAACTTCTCATATTAAATCATAAATATATCATTAATGAGCTGTCTTCTATTAATCGGTGAAAATTATCTCCACATTGGCATTCTCATATTGTTAAATTCCCTCTCTGTTTCTTCAAGCATGAAAACTCACGCTAGGCTTTTCCACGGGCCTGCACTAAAATCTCCATTTAGTGAATTCAAAGGATGTTCCTATCTGTGGCTATGGCACCGTCTTCAATGGCTAGGGCCAGCACCAACTCATTCTCCAAGGAAAAATCCATTCAAAGTTCCCGCATGTCTTAGTGACAGGTGCGACATATTTTGTTGATTAAAATCAGAACAACTTGTCTCCTCCGCAATCGACTGCAGGGTAGTATGATGTCCCCGACTGAAATGTAGAATACTCATGGAGTACTCCGGGATATACACCAGGGCAACTACTGTCAACCATATGATGACGCCACACCCATTTCATTTTGTGGAAGTCCCCAGCAGAGGAAAGGGCAGTAGGTGATGGCACGTTCTTCTTTAGGGTGCAGAATCCTAGTTATCTGACTCAGATCAATACATCAAACAAGAGGCTTGGTTAAGTACGCCTACCTATGAGAAATAATAAATCATTAGACTTTCATAAGTCCATGTGCCACATTTAGCTTCCAAATGCACATGTCCTTAAGCATAAAAATTTATTTGTATCCACTCCCAGTTATGATATTTAGACCAAGTTATTCATTCAACAGAAGGCCGGCTTAAGGACTACCCACTTAATTGACAGATCTCCTCATTCCACTCACCAGAAAGAAAACCCTAAAGAAGAGACTGATTATCATTCAACTTCCATCATCCTCAAAAACTGGGGAGTGAAATTTGCACACATAAAAGTCAGAAAAAAGGGTACCATAAAAGAAAAAGAATCTAAGAAGCAACAGCACAATCATCACTCTCACTCAAAAGCCAGAACCCTCAAAATCAAGCAGAGAAATGAGACCAAAATGCTAATGCTAAGATGTCCAACACTGACGTCAATTATCATGACGGAATGTAAAACCACCTCAATAGAATCATCCTTCCACATGTGACTTCAATAGAGTTTCCAGTGGAGCTTCTCCTATAAGCCATTCAATAGGTCTACATTTCTTCCTTTCTGAGCTGAGAAGTACTTACAATAGCAAGAAGTTGAGCTTGATACCAAGTAGGAGACTCTATAGCTTCATTCGGGTTTTTCTCCAATCCTTTTCGCTGGAAAGGAGAAGGTGGTAGAAGATAAAATTCAAGAGTCAACTCTTACACCCTGAACAAAAAAAGTCAACGTCGAGACATGAAGGAGGAGTCGTACATCTAGGAGGACATCAATGGAGGCGCCTGGAATTAACTCAGGCATAACTATCTGCACGAGAGGAGAGGAGAATTATGGTACATAATTCCAAGATTTTCGGAGGAATCGCCATATTCTGACAACTCTGCCATGAACCTGAGAAGCAGTAGGACTGCTGAAACCGAGGTCTCTGTATTTGGCAGGAAGGAAAGGCTCCACAGCTGATGCAGTCGTCACGACCAGAGCGCCACCCCCTCTCTTGCCGCAGAGGAGGGGAAGGGGGTTGCCCAAGGAGGGCGGCAAAAGGAGCCCAGATGCAGAGAGCGATGTGATCCCGTTCCTGGCAAAAGGCGACAGATAAGCCTTCCATTTGATTCATTTTCTTTATCGAACTACGAAGATCAAAGCCATAGAGGGTTGAATAGAATTTACTCGCGCAGGTGGAAAGCGTACCCCCGCATCTTCAGGCCCTTCGGGTCCTGGCGAGCGACCATAAAAGCTGCGTAAATTTCTCGTGCAAGTGCAAACCCCGAAGAGGAGAAAGGGGACTAGGAAGGCGAAGGGCGAGAGACGAAGAAGAGAGCCATGGAAGGCGGTAGCAGCATCACCAGAGGGCGTCGAACTACTTACGGGCCCTTGAACCCTGACCATGACCGCCAGGCTCCGAGCTCTCTCGGCAACCTCTCTGGCCTCCATCCTCCTCTCTAGCCCCCTCTGGGCGACGAAGAAGGACGGGGGGGGAGCCTGAGGAGAACCAGAGACCTCGGGAACGTTGCTCCTACGGCGAGGACACCGAGTTGGACACGTCAAATTTCCCCCCGCAGCATCACGACGCAACGAACTCTAGGAATTTATCCGAGTAGGAAGACGACGGTTTGCCTGAGATGGCCTCGAACCCTCGTCCTCCTGCCGTTCGGTTGATATTTTCAGTTCTTCCAGCCAAACGTCAAGAAAGGAAAATCCCCACTTCTGGCATCAGACGAAGAAAGGAAAACTCCCGGCTTTCTCCCTCAAATCGGGAAAGATAGCTCCCGCGAATCAGTCAAGTATCAAGATAAAACAATCTGAGTCGAAAGATAGAAGAGAATTTGCAAGTTCGTTGCAAGTTGGTCTGCGTACTCTCTCTCTCTCTCTCTCTCTCTCTCTCTCTCTCTCACACACACACACACACATGTCAAGCAATGAAAGGGCACAGGATCATGGAAGATGGGCACACAGTCTCGTCTAAAGGTGCAGAGATTTCACGCAAAAAGACATTGAGAAGATGAGGAGTTGACTTTGAGGGGACGACCCACTCAACTAAATCTAAGAAAAAAAAATATACTCCACGAGGTAATAAAATAGCGCTAGTTTTTCAAATCATCAACGTTGACCTTGAGAACTTTATTCAAATCAGCCTCCGACAGAGGAGGGCGAGCCTGTCTTAGAACCTCCACAACCTTCATGAGCCTTCATAGCACCAAAGGGCGGGCTTCAAATAGAACGAACTACACTGCGAAACTGGAACCCACAAGGACTTAAATGAAATTCGGACCTCCTTAGCAAGAACACCGTGGTGTCACTTCATGGCCGTCACATTGTGGAGCAGCATCTTGACAACATCGTGGGAGATCCTCGCCGCCTCCAACCGGAGTTGCTCGATCTTGGCATCGGTCTCCACCGCCAGGCGCTTCACATTGGAGCCCGAGTCGCCGCTACTCTGTCATATATAGGGGAGGAATGAACAGAGGAAGAAGAATTTAAGAGATTGCCCCGAGGAGTCGGCGAGTGGGGCATCTGTTTCTTTATAAAGGTTAAGGATAAGGAGGCCATTAAGTTAAGTACCTCCAAGACCTTCTTCTGGAATTCGGCCTCAACCTGGGCGCGGTACTCGGCAATCTCCTTCTCCGCCTCATCTTTTGCTTGCTTCAGCCTGGCCAGCTTCGCTGGATTATATCAAGGACGGGTGCAAGAATGAGAGGTCTGTGATGTGAGAAGAGACCGAAAACGTGATGTGTATAAACTACTGTACAGCTAAATTAGGAGCCTTTCTGCCCATCTAGCCATCTATAAATCCAAGAATAATTATCTTAGAGTAGAATATCAACGTGCAAAAATCTTCAGCGAATTAGGAAAATGCTCACTACTCATAAGAAGTTAAAAAAAATAATAAACTCTGTGGTCTAAGAAAATTTGTCAAAACGTTTCAACTCAGAACAAGTCACAAAAAGAGTCCAAATATAAAAGAATCCTAGAGAAAGTTGCAACATGGTAAAAGACGTGAAGTATTCACTCGAAATTGACAGGGTGATCATGAGAAAAGGAAATAAATGAAATGAAGAATGGTGCTTTTTTCTTCAACTTGTAGTAGTGATAGAGCATGCATATGATGTTTTAGAGAACCCCATGCAATATCCGTGGATTACCTATCATCACCTCTCACTTGCAATTATAAATGTAACACTGATTCATCGGCCATGCAAAATCTGTAGTCGAACCAAGTTTAATGCAAAAGGAAAGATGAAGTGTAGAAAAAAGTTAACGACTTGTCTTGTCATAGTGGGATTTTATGGATAAGGGTTCTGAAGGCCATGAAATTATTATGCAGAATGAATCAGCTTCCGGTCATCAGTTGAGCTGAAGAAAACTTTCTTCCAAGTGCAAATTTCAAAAGATGAAAAATGGGTCATAATGTGTTGAGTTTTCAGAAAAATATTCATCTGCCTTTTCGGTTGGTTTGGATTCCAGGTTCAGAATGCTCTAGTCCTGAAATTTGATTCCAAAGTGAGGAGGGAAGATAAGGTAAAGTTCATTTCAGCAGAGTGCAGATCGGTTCCACCGAATTGAATGCAGCCCACGTTAGTCAAATATATCTTGTCCATTTGCGAGATGACAAGAAGCATCAGCGCAAAGATCCAACTCCTTTTAATCAACTTCTGTTGCAATGGAGCTGGCATTTGCAAGAAGCATTTGCATGTGTTTCTTGCATCAGCAATTCAGGATAGAATTTAGAGCGAGTAGGCTGAAATTGACATCTTGAATGGAGCTCTCCTATTTCAACTGTAACAAAGAGAGAGAATGAATATCTCATTGGAAGAAAAAAAAAAAAAGACATCTGTGGTAAGACTGAAGTTATGAATGCCAGACGAATGGAGGCTCTTGGAAAGAGAAGAATAACCTTCATATCTTCAAGTGTCAACAACCTGTCCCTCAAATATTTTTCAAGCTGCTGATTTTATTCAAATTTCTATGAATTTAATATGAGGAATGAGAGAAGACTTGAAGACTTAAAGTGCTGGGAAAAAAAAGGCTTCTAGAGGGAGACTTCTGCTGAAAAACTCCAGAAGCTTTATCAATCATAATCTGAATGAATTCAATAGATGACAATGTTTGGCAACACCTTGAAAATACCCTAAAGTGAAAAACAGTCATTTTGTCAAGATTTAAAGGGTGATACATAATATCACACCGAAAGATGTCCAAGAGGGACAAAAAGCATTGGAAATATACCCCAGGAGAGAAATTAAAACCTAACATCTTTAGCAAATTATATGAAGATGGACACATAATTGATGGAAGAGCTCGGTAAGCAAATTTATGACGGCAAGAGAGAAAAGGCTTCCGATTTGTGACAAATCCACATCTGTGAGCCCTCAATAAGATTAAACTCTATTCTAGCTTGTGAAAAATTTTGATTCAGCACATAAAACTAGTCCTGGTAGAATTCAGATCAAGCCCAGCATAATGTCAGAAATCAGCAAAATGCTGCAGACAGGGAATCGCCAACCCCATATTCCACTAAATTAAACACGGGGAGGTTGTGTCTAAGATCTATGATAGAAACTATATGATAGAAAACAAGGACTACAGAATTTGCTACGCCATTAGCTGGAACAACTTTTGCAGGATCATAAGAACTTTATGGTGTTCAGCAGATTGAAGAAAAGGAGTGGCATTCTATTTCAGAATGCTCTCTCTATTTAGGCCACCATCTTTCCACAAGGTATTTTGTTGCGAGAAAGAGGACGGGGATATTTTGTCTAATAATTGTGCACATCATAAGTCATGATACACAAGATTCTTTTGCCCACAAAGAAGAAGATTAAAAGGAAGATCTATTAAAGCTTTGCGCCTCTCTTAATTGGAAGATTTGAAAAAAAAATCCCGAAGTAAGAGGGTCTCATTTTCGGAGCTTTGATGGTTGAGCCCACCTGAGGTCAAAAAAAAAGTGAAAGACAGAACAACACCACTTGTTCGACAGAGTTCGCACCAACTCAACAAACCACTATTATCTTATAAATAGTTACAATAATGATATCACATAACGACTGAAATCAGGAAACCAGTTTACCATTTCTGGCAGCATTGACAATATGCTGGGCTTCTTGCTCTGCAGCAAGAAGTTGCTGAATGCCACCTTGACGTCTGCTTGATTCCATCTTTCACCTAAATATTCCAAAAATGGCCCATCATAGTCAAAGGACAAGTCATAATGTAAAAGCATTTTTTTAATAATAAACATTAACAGGATAAAATCCGCAGCCCATAGAACTAATTCATAAGATTACAAGTACATGAAACAAATTGAGAAGAGTTTAATATGTTTCTAAAGGCCCAGTTCAATCAACCGACTCCTAATGGAAAATCTGCACATGTGGCTCTGGCCGGGCTTTCCTTTGGTATCTAATAACCTTGCTTCCGCTCACTGACCACAAGCCAACACCTCAACACAAACATCCACTTGAAAGTCATTTAATTAGCTGGTTCACTCTTCTCAGCCCAATGCCAACACCAAAAGTTAAATATCTCGGTGAAGATATACACAAGTCTAATCGATAAAACCAAGATCCAAACAACCAAGTGATCAGAAGAGAGGAAAATATTTAAGAATAAATTACTGAATATTTTACACATGCAGTCGACTTTTGCAACAAAAAGCCATTTAGGCCCACTGTCAGCAATTAAAAGGAGCGTACTGTCTCCTTTTTCCACTATTCTCACACTTGTCCCCCCATTCAGGAGTCAGATATTCGATGGTTCTCCAAGCGAAAAGTTAGGCAACTATAGCAGCTTTTAACATTAAGGCACTCATTAAATTAAGACACTTATTATTCCTGCGTTGAATTGAAATTGACATATGTTTGATCACCAAGCAAAGCCTATGGGTAAAAAATTCAGATGACGAAAGAAAAAGAAAATATGATAGGAATACAAAAATATATAAAGTCAAATGAAATGCAAGCTACACCACACACGTAGGAGTGGTTTTTTCTTCTTTGGACCATCTATGATAATACATATGTACACAGTTCGTGTCAACAAATTTATTTTTTAAGGGAGTAGCCATAACTCTCATCAGTGGGATAATGTCCTCAGTTTATGGTCAGACAGTATCCATAAGAATTAACTTCCCTTACCTTTGCCCCCTGGTGAGGCCATGAAATGGTTTTTTGACCAACTCAACTGGCACACAATTTTCTATACGCCTCATCTTTCATTCCTTACTAATTATTTATATAACTCCAATAAAAACGTTCTACACAAACCTGCAAGTATTCTGTCGGCTTGTGTCCAATTACTTATAATGTTATCATGTCCGAATAAACCACTACAAAAGTAGAAACTGGCTTAAGGATCATTGGATGCGATGAAGAGAGAGGTGTCATTGGAAGGAATTTTTCTTGACTATTAGTTCACATGGTAAATCTCGCAGATGATACTCCACAAAACATGCAAGTAATGGCATATGTAACGTGTTGCTGTTGATGGTGAACGTTCAAAGGTGATGGCAGCATACAGCAGCTCAACAAATTTAGGCCACTCGGAAAAATAGGAGACAGCTTCCAGGGATAAAGTTTCTAAACAAAAAGGGTAAAGTGGCCAAACATTAATACAAGAGACAGGAAAAGACTAGGCCATTGCCTTTTGTAAAAGAGAGATTAGCCTTAGATTTTGGGAGAATGGGGGGAGTAGAACTTTGAAGTATTGTACATGATGATGTTGACAGCATACTGAAAATATTATATGTTATCTCTTCTTCACATATTTGATACATGAATGGTTCTTCCTGCTTTCGAAGTATGCTATGAAGAACCAAAGGAAACCGCACCATAAAACATAACATGTATCTCCGTTGTATAGTGTCAGCCCATCAAGACTGGGCTATCCTCAACAACAACCAGATATTAGGCGAATATTTAATGTCTATGGCATTTTTCACCTCACAAATGGACCTGCCGTCTAAAAACATGATAATCAAATAACTTCGAATGCTTTCTAACTTGTTATCCACACTAATTGATAGTTTGATGCAATTTCTCCTTAGAATTTTACTGAGAAGCTCTCCAAAGGTTATATGGTCCCTACCTGAATATGCCGATATTCGGTAGGAAGTGCGTCCCCTAAGAGATGGATAAAACGTTATATTCTACTCTGATGGGGCTCAGTCAATCCCTAGAAACCTTTTGGGGGGATTGCGGCAGGTAGCAACCAGTCACAAACCTAATCGACCTGCATATCCTCTTCCTGGAAAGTTGGGGTCTCCGAACGACGCATAAATTAAGAAGGCGTTAAATAAGGGCAAACAAAAGATGAAGGAGACGAGATTCCCAATATCTCAGAAATTTGTTCAGAATTTCTGGGGCCTAATCAATTCCATAGAAAACACGTCGGCAGTTAACTGATGGGGCTCAGTCAATTGCATAGAAAAACCACTTCCGTTTCAACGAAACACGTCGCGAGGACCATTGCCATTGGATCGTAAAAACGGCAACCAACTGATGAAGAACAGCCAACTGATACTGGATCTCCCCCATAACCAAACTTCCCCGGACCGGAAAATAACCGATGTACGGAAAACGACCAACGGACACAATACCATACCTGATCTGATCTGCACCTCCGACCACAACCACCGCGCCGCCGTCCGGACGGGGACCCTCCCAGAGCCCGCTACTGCCGCGATCTTCCCAGCGCCTCGGAGCTCCCCCCGCACTCACACCCTAATCCCAGCGGGTGCGTTCGCGGAAGGGGAAAAGAATAACTAAAGGAGCGACACCGCGATCACTCTCTCTCTCTCTCTCTCTTTAGATGCGTCCCAGCAGACGCTAAGGAAGCTCCAGGCGAAGGCAGGCCTCAGGCAATGCGTCCTCATTAGCGATCGTTCCCCCCTCTTTAATCATGCGGTCCTCTCTCTCTCTCTCTTGCTAGTACAATCGATTGAGAAATATAATTATTAATAATACAAACCAACAGTTTAGCATAATTTGGCATTTTTTATCTGGAAAAATCGATTTTTCTTTTAAAAAATTGGTGCGATTAACTTAAAGTATTACAATTGATCGCTAGGTATTACAATTGATTGAGAAATATAACTATTAATAATATGAATCCACAAATTCTCATTATTTGGGCATTTTTATTTGGACAAATCTATTTTTTGCTTACAAAATTGGTACAAATAACTTAATTTATAATGTATAACTTTTTTTTGAAATGTTTTTTACGGACCTTTTAAATTTACATTATTATGAACTTCCAAACTACATGATTCCGAACTTATTTTATTTTTTTTATAAACCCTGATGTGTGTAAAAATGCCTACATCATTTAAGAGTTTAAGTTAGGTTTAAAAATAACCTATTATTTTCATTTAATTATTCCTTCTTCCACAAGGGCTTCTCCATCTTTTCAAGCCACATGCATGAAGGGTGCCAAAAAAACAACTGTTTGACCAATAATTTGTGGGCAATTTTGCATTATGCAGAAAATAGAGGAATATATCAGTAAAAATCTTGGATTATGAGGGTCTGATGTTAAATTCCACCCCCCCCCCCCCAACCCCCCGTGCAGGAAGATGTGGAAGTCCTGGACCACACGGGCCCCAGCCTGGTAGTGTGGGGTCCACCTCTACCTAAGAAATCTTAATATCTCGAATTTCATAAAAGTCAAGCTTTTTAGCCCATTTCCTGAGCTTTATCTCAACAAAACATTCTCAAAACCTCAAAAATCCTCAAAAAAACTGACAGCATGCATGATAGAGACTGACCGTTTATATGCATAGAGAGAAACATGGAGGCTTGGATGGAGGGAGGGAGCAACCGGGAACAAAGGAGGAAGAAGAATAATAAAAAGAACAGAGTGAGAGAGAGAGAGAGAGAGAGAGAGGGTACCTATAGAAACATGGGCAACAAAAATGGCAGAAGGTGTTCACCTTCCTCTTTGTATTTCCTCCCTCTTTCTTCCGTCCTTAAATCTCAGAAACATGACGATATAAAAGCCAAGGTTGGTTCAAGTCAACCTTTGCTGAGCGAGATTTTTGTTTTTTCTTTTCATAGATGGTAATCCGCACAAAAATGGAAGGTAATGTACAAAATAGATAAATTCAACCGCATCACAGATCGTCTGAGAGCGTGATCGCGCCCTTGACCGTCTTCTGACAGCGCCAGTAGACAGCGCTTGAAGTCTCAGATGTCCCCACCTGCCGGATTTCAAGCAAGGATGAACAAAACCATCATGAATGATCTTGAACAGTGAAGCAAACGGACTACACAAAAAGGGAAAAGACTGAGTGGGTCCAGAGATCCTCCGGTTTACTAAAATTGTGTGTGGCGGGGGGAGAGGGGGGGGGGGGGTTATTGTCTACCTTTGTCTCAAAGGTGTAGTAATCCTTCCACAGCTTGGGGGTTTTGCTGTATATGGAAAGGGCAGACTCGAAGACCTTCCGAGCCCTGGGAATAGCACTGTTATCCCCAGAAGTTGCAAGATTCGATTCCAACTCAATGCAATACATGAAGAACGATAGGCTTGGACGGGGCAGGGATAGAAGTCTGCATGATTGGGGAAAACCCAGCACGTCGTCAACAAAAACTCATGCATATTATGAGTGTAATTATCATATGATAACACGGAAGAAACTTTTTCCAAAGAAAAAATTCCAACCTGATGCAGCATTATTCAATGAAGTGACCCAACAGATGTACTTACGAAATAAGAACATTTTTTCATGAGGTAACTAGGTAGGGAAAAAAGGCCTAGAAATCGATTTATTTCAAAGGCCTGCAGATCAAAAAGTCGATATGAGCTGACTGAAGATTGATCTTCAACATACCGCTGGTAGATGCTTCTTGCAGGTTGAGGGCCTTGTCTCTGAAAAACCCAGTTCACAATCGCACAACAGACAGAGTGTAGGTGGTCATCACAAGAGCTCTTTGCTAGTTGGATAACAAAATGTGCAGACAGCTTCTCAAAATATTCTTTCCTGTTTGAGAAAAAAGCAATAGCCTGCAAAGCCCCATGCATGTTCATGAACATATGGAAAGGTAGGTTGCCATAATTTATGCATCTAAGAATAGGAAAATGTTGAAGCATCAAATTTTGAGACCCAGCATGAAAGAAGTAGCGGGAATCATCAGATGCAGAAGCGAATGAAATAGTAGCAATCTAGAGCCGTGTTTATGTGGAGTAAGATCCATCAGCAAGAGAGAGACGAATTGAGGCTGACGAGCAACTAAAGAACACACAGAGAGCTACAACCTTTGATACGATAATTAATTTTTTGATTCAAGAGACTTACAGTAATCTCTCGCATGCAAATTAACTATGCAATTACCTCGATCTGCAAGGTGCTCAGACTCTCCAAAATTTCTCCTCTTGCGATTTTTGAAATTTAATGGTTCACTAGGAATGTATATTCTAAATTAGGAATAAGCCCCTCCAGCGGCAACAAGAAGATCACAAACACTTTAAATAGCCATTAAAGAAGCCTGCTCTTGCACACCGCTCATTGTTCCGTGGTAGAAACTATCCACTCCATCACCCAGCTGCAGCTTAGTGCTGCTAAGATGTTTGTGCACTTGACACTACGTGCTCCGAACAGGGGAAATTGATGATCTGCAGACTGATCGGAAACCCAACAGCAGCAATCATAATGGTCTCTTGTCATAGTCATCTCTAATAATTCCTTTGCAGACATTATCCCATTTCAAAACATGTGAACCCTAATCATTTCCAGCTTTTTTTCAAATCTCTGTCGTCAGTGTTCTAATTATAGACAGAAAACACAGTCATGTCAGAGATGCATACTCCCCCAGCCAATAGAGATCTATCCAGCCTTCAATGATTCTAGCCTCCACCAGACATGGGAAAAATCCCAGTTTCAACTTGTCGTCAATCCAAAAATGGCAACCCCTAGATACACACTGGTAGCTCATAAATTTAGGAAATTATGAAGTAATATACATCTGTATGACGATGGCTATAACATCTGTTTCATAACGTCAGCCTTTAAGACTTGAAAGACTTTCAAGAAGAATCATTATTATTTGAAAATAAAGAAATATAGGAGCATTTCGGTCTATGTATTTTAGTTCTGGAGAAGAAGAGCCCAAAACGATCTTCTCTTCTATTGGCTTGCAGTTTTCATCAGGTTTCGTTTTTTAAAGGCATTTGCTCATCTGTACTTCATATTGCATATACTGGCATGCTAGTGTATTTCCCTTCTTCCAGTCTTTGCACCTCCTGAATGGCCTTCTCTTCCATTCATTTGCTGGGTTTCATCAAGATTCCGTTTTCGAAGGCATTTCCGATAGACAGCCTTTTTTCCATACTAAGGAATTCCATTCGCACAGTAACCTCTTAATCAGAAGACATTTTACCAGACATATTGGCCTGTCTCCTAACATTCGTCAGCCCTAAATAGTAATGGAAAGTCATCAGGGATTTCAGCCCTAAGATCATTTGAAACCGCTTGATGTTCCATTGTTTGTAGAAATTTTGATCCAGTGCAAGCAGAGTTTGTAGATATAAGTCCCCAAAAGACAACAGGGTCACGCTGACACCCTTTAAACGCGTGACCCAGTCCCAGTGAAAGCTCGATACTTGAAGATGAATAGCAGAGGTTATCCAGGGTTGAAGAAAACAAACCAAGGCCAAAGAACAGTTGATGTTAAGAGAATTAGATAACTACGATTGATGCTGATTGGATTCCTGACGGGAAAGAAAAGAGAGGAGAGAAGAATTGCACTTGATCCCTTACCTCTAGTTGGCATCGTTTGGACAAGCAAATGTCGTTGACTATTATGTAACAAAACATTTATAACTGGGGCAACCAGACCACATTGGAATTAATTTCAATCTTAGTTTGCCTTTGTTCCTTTGTTTTACCTTCTAGGATCATCTTAATATGCAAAAATATTTTACCTAACTGATAGTCCAAGGCTGTGTCATATGGAAGTAGAAGAACACCCACACAGAAAGTGATGAAAACACTCCACACCATACTAAACGTATTTATGAAGCATTTCAGAGAAAATATAATAAGTGAAAGCTGAATGAATAAAAATAAAGGGCCACAAAATTTGTAGTAAAAAAAAGAAATCAAGGGAGTTCCCCAAAATTGTATTGCCATATACTGATACCAGAAAATTTTCTAAATACATAACAAAGTACGCAAAAGCAAATGAAACAGTGAAGTGATTGTATGGAACTAGAACAGTAATCCCTGATGCAGGTTTCACACGCAACATATCTACCCAAAAATTTCTCTTAAAAACATTACACCTTACGATCATAAAGGATGATAGAGAATGAATGTGTAAATGAGAAAAAAGGCACGGAATATATTCATTCATACCTCTTGCCACAAGGTTTCAGTTTCAGAAATGGATACTTGGCTGGTAGCAAGTTTGAAGAGATCAAAAATGTGATTCAGCTCAGCTGTGGTTAAGGCGATAGAGCCACTAACAACGCATTTCATTTCTACCGAGATCCTCAAGCTCCATAATCTTGGACCCTTTGGAAGTACACCACCACAAAGCTTTTCTGCAAGCTCTCTAGCTTCATCTGTCTTCCCTATTTGTAAATAATACGAGACATATTGGTACGCAAGATCATCATTCAGGCAACCACAGGATTGAGCGCTTTCAAATAATTTCAGTATACACGAGTCAAACTCAGTAATGTCAATTCCTATAGTGCAGAATGAATCATACATCCCATCTACCTCTGGAGAAAATAAATCTGAGAAAAACTTTGCATAGAGTGAGAACATCTTGGCAGATGGCACCAGACGTAAAGCCTCCTCATATACCTATTTGAGACCAACAAGAATGAAAGTTTAAAATTAGAATGCTACAGAAACCACCTTGACAAAAAATACTACACAGTAATATTTCCAATGTAGAAGAATTTACTAATTGAAATGTTTACGGTACATAGATAAGATCTCTAACAGCTAGAGTAAAAGCTAATTTCCTTCTGTTCAAGACATAAAAAAATCATCAAAACTGGAACCATAAGAAAAGCCGAAATCGCTGATCCAGCACAGGTGACACCTATGTTGAGATTACACAGTAGTTGGTCAAACAAAGGATGATACAGATGGGCATCGTCCGTGGAATCCGGCTGCTTCTCTTCTTGCTTTGCCACTATTGTTACGTTATTCCAACTGGTTTAAGGTAGTTTGGGATAAAATACCTCTGCCACAAGCCCCTTCCGGCTCTGGAGCAGTTGCTTTTGTCTATTCTGCCGAACATCTTTTGGACATCTATAAATATATCATAATAATATAATTGCAACAAGAGCTAATTTTTCTATTCCATCTTGGGACGTTTCACCTCAATTATTTTACTCAATCATAGATTAAATTATTAGGAAATAGCCAGAACATAACATAACTCATAGTATAAGAAGAGAAGACCAAAGAATAACATACATAAGTGATGACATCAACACCGAAAAACCATGAACCAACTAAAAAATATCTAATATCAGAACATCAACTGGGAACAACAAATTAATGTCAACACTGACCTGAACTGCCTTATTCAACCTGCAAAGAGCTTCATCTTTGGCCATACCCTTCATCTTTTGGGTATCACAGATTTGAAGTCTTGCAATCCAGTCCCAATAGTCTTCTTCCTTTGAAAACTGCCTCTTAATATCCTCCATCACCTCTCCCTTCAATTCATCAGAATGAACGAGATCTACATTATCTAGAATTTCCAAGAAACGCCTCCGTAAGCTCATACTATTGGGCATAGCCTCAACTGCTCCATGATAAATAGTTCTAAGGATACTTGAACCATGTTTCCAGAAGAAATTCTCACTCTGTTCCAAAGGGACCATCTGGGGCTCTGACCCTTCAGCAAAATGCCCTTCATCTAGAGATACAAATAAATCCTCATTCTCCTCTTTCCATTTTCTTTCCTCATCAGTCTCATCAGCCTTATTCAAAGTCCCCACCTCTTCCCCAAGAGCGACCTTCCGGGCCTTCAATTTGTTGAGGTATGTGAGCTCCATCCGAAGGTACTCTATCCAAAGGTCCTCCGAACTCGAACACTCCCTCAGGCCACTTTGCATTAGAGCGCGAGCAGCCGCAACATTTAGGTTCTGATCGAACTCCCAAGATGCGGCATATATCCAAAGCCCAGGGACCTTCGGATGGAACCTAATCGCCTGTGCAAGCAACTAATATCGCAAGGAAAAGGAATTAGCCATCATTTAAGCAAGAAATTCGAATATAATCAATAAAATGAAGTTAAAGAGCGCATGAGCGGACAAACAAGCGGAATATCGTCTGATTTTTAAAACCCAAAACACCGGGGAGCATAAAATTTAACCAAACCAGACGAAAAATCTCGGTAACAAATGAATGTTATCAATGAAAAAAACTAGAAGGTGGAAGCTTTCATCAATGAATGAAGACGACTAATATTTAGAAAAAAGGAAAATAAACCGACTTGCTTCATCCGGCCATGCTTGCGCTCCCTGCAGAATTCCAGGTAGCGGAACCAGAGATCCAGGTCCCCCTTGTATTTCACCACGGCGAGCCTATAAATCTCCAGTATCCTCGCAACACCAGCCACGTCAGAGATGGACCTCTTCCACAGTTTCCCACTCTTTTTCTCCCCATCTCCGGCGTCCTTATCCCCCTTGTTCTGTTGCTGCCGCCGCTTGAGCTCCCCGAGGATTTTCTTCTTCCGGATCACGCGGAGGGCGTCGACCTGAGTCTCATAGTCGACGTAGGCGAGAAAGTCCTGCTTGAGAGGGCGGGGACGCTTCAGGCGGTACTCGAAGTCCCGCCGACGCTTCACTATCTCTCCAATCTCCTGGCGGCTGAAGAGACCCCTTCTCACGAGGTCCTCCAGCTCGTCCACCATCCGCTCAAGGCGGAACTGCACAACGTCCGCCATCTTTCCACCTCCCCCTCCGCTCCCCTGCCGTCTACCCCTGAATCAAACTAGAACCCCCAGGAGCGATGGAGAGAGAGAGAGAGAGAGAAGAGCAGTGCTGCGCAGGCGACGCGAGGCAGAGCGTACGAGCCCGGGCGGGAGAAAACGAGTTAGGGATGGCTAGGTTTCTCAGCCAGAGACGAAACGGATCATGCCCGATATCGTTACCGACTACCGAATAGCGGACTATATTCTTGGGATCGTATAGCTCACTAAATCATTATCTAAATAATGTAAAACTAACATAATGAAAAGACAGCCCTTAATTTATAAAAAAATCAATAAATATGGTAAATAAACACTCTAAGACAAATCCATAAAATTGAAGTTAAACATTTAAATAAGTTTTGAAATAGAAATTAGCCTCACAAGTTTATTTAAGTTTTTGCTGCCAAGGTACCCTAGAATTTTATGTACCCAGAGTGACCCCTAAATAAATAATTTATTTTATAATAGAATTTGAGTGTATATGCTCAAATCATATTATTTTCTCTATGTTTCTCTATTTTTTCTTCCCAAAAAATTTCTAGTTGGTTCTAAAAATTGTCTCTTTTTTCTTACAACAAAGTTTTGGAGTATTTCCTACTGATTTTGTAGGATTGACATAAATTCTATATGAACATGCAAAACTAGAATTGTTCATGCTCTTAGTTTTGTCTTGCACATCAGAATACTATGAGTATTAATATTCTTATTTTCTAATATGTTCTTCTTCTCATCTAACAATTTAGAACATTATGTCTTCTTATCTGACCATTTAGCTCATCATGCTTTTATATTGCCTTTCTCTACTATTTTCCTACCATTAATAATGATATCATTGCAACTAGTTTTCTCTACTTTTACTTTCAATTCAATTTTTTCACTTTTACTTTACTTTTACTTATGATTGGTTTTTAATTGTTTAGACTTGGTTTTAATTATTCCCTTTAAATTTTGTTCTCTTATGCATATCTTTCATACATTGAGTTTATTTAGACTAAAGAATTTTGCAACTCCAAGCAGCATGTGGAGAGTTAAAAATATGTTTTTCTTGCTTTCTTCTTCCGATTCCAATGATGAACTACCTTCACCACTTCAAGTGATTACCATTACTTCCTTTTTCCTAATTTGAAACTCAAACAATTAGTTATCAGATTACTTATTTTTACACACTCGAAATAGAATACTTCATTCTTAAGCCCAGTACATTGCATAGAATGGAATGTTAGACCCTTTTTAGGTATTTTTCATTCTCTAATTTGGAGAAAAAAAAATTAGTCAACACAATTAATTTGTCAACTTTCTCCTCCACTCTTAATTCCTCATTATCATCTAAAATATTTATTAGCAAATAAAATCTAAAATAATTCGTCAACTTTCACCTCACCCTTCTATTTTATTATTTATATTAAATCTTATTAAAATATTCAAGTCATTTTATATAAAAACTAAATTAGTTTTCATGACAGATTAATCAATCTCCATGTTTGACCTAAGACTTACTCCTATACTAATATTTTATTAAATTATATACATTTAAACACAATGACATATGCACACCAAATAATATTATAAATATTGACATTTAACACAAGTTCTCATCATATATACATTTTAATAAATAATAAATAAATAAAAATTCACATTATAATATTAAAACCAAAGGCATCAACAATCTCCCTTTATTTGATGCCTACAAAACCATTTTTCAAAATAATTGTGTTGAGAAAAAATAATTATACAATAATCCATACAACAAAGATGTAATATAAGTTATATTCATCCACACAATCAGCAAATAAAATTCACATTAACACAATTAAGCAACATTGTTTCAAAATCTTTCTAATAAGTGTTCCCCTTAAATCTTTGCACATTTAATTTTCTCAATCTTTAATATTTTTCCTTAATGTGCTTAAATGTCTATTATTTAATAATATTTAAAACTAAGACTTAATAAAATATTACTATAGATGTAAGTTACAGATCGAATATATGGAGATTAATTTAGTTTTTATATATATTGATTTAATATTTTATCACTATTTAACAGAAATAATAAAATAAAAGGGAGAGAGGGAGAAAGATCACTACTTTCGTACATCATCTTAGCTTGATCTTAGATGAGTTTTAGAAGATTCAAAAGCCAAACGAAGATCATTTCTATCAGAACATGTACTAAATAGAAATAAGTTCCCATAAAATATAAATTAATAACAAAAGTAGGTAAATAAATATTAAAAATATGAAAGAAATTATTGCCCAAGTTTAGTTAGCCAGTCTCATAGGCAAGTGAAGACACTAGTGACACCTTAATTTCGTCCAAACATGCCACATTAATTTTGTCTGGACAATCAAGTTCATACAAATAATATTTATAAAACCTTAATCTTCTATTTAGAATAAGTAAGGTTGACCCTCAAGAAACATAGGTAATAAGAGTAAGAATTTTACTTATTTTATTTTTAATATATGTATAGATATACTTAACATTGTAATAGACGAAATTAATCTAATAAGAATAAAGACAAAAGAAATAGAAAGTATGACAAAAGAGAGAGAATGAATCCAATATAATAGAATGATAGAATAAATAGTAAAACTAGTTCAAACTAAGAGTTAATCTATCCTAAAAATTTAAAAGGACGTCCTAAATTTGGATCCTACATAAACCTTGTTGTGCATTAGTCCTAAGTCAAGTGATACTTGATCTACAATAATCTTGATGTGCTCTAGGTAGTCTCTTCTCCACGACAATCTTGAGCACAAAAATATTATTCGCTAGGCCTTGATTTCTCTTCTTTTTCCTTCGGCTAGGTTAAAAGCACCCTCCAAGAGGAGGGTGAGTTACCTTAAACTTCTAGAGAGTTAGACCTCTCCAATAGATGGTTGTGATTAATAACTAACTCTGTTGATAGACAACCTAGATTCTTTCATGAGGACAATGCTCTAATCTTCTTCTTAATCTCATCTTTAAGGTGCCCTAACATAGGTGATCTAAATCTCATATCTTCATAATTCTTTTTAAGTCCAAATAGGCTAAGCTAAGGTGACACTCTCTCTTGGGCCCATAAACATATTAAGCTGATCCTCTCCATAAAATTTGGGTATTTTTTTGAACTCATGACTTAGGCTTTTTTCATTACTTCTAACTCATAATAAGAGCTCACCTAAGTTCTTGTAATCAAATAATTATAAAAACAAATATAAAAAAATCACCACTTGACTTCATAAAAATAAAGTAGAGTTAGTCTAAAGAAAGTCTAGTAATATAAATAAAATAAATAAAGTTATGTATAAGACTTAAATGATAAAATATTATGAATGTCATAATAAGTCAATAACACATGAATGTAAGATGCTCTAATATGAATGTAGGATGCTCTAGTAATTTATAATTATCAAATCTCTATTGAAATCAAACGAAATTGACGTCATAATAAAATGTTAACTTATTAGGGCCATCAAGAAGTTGTCTTTTTTTTAATAATCATCATAAGGTGAAAAGTTAGTCATATTAAGAATTGATTTTATTAAATACACTATGAACATGTAAAACTTATAAATCAAAAAAACCCTGAACTCAAAATCCTAAACTCAAAAATATAACATTGATGATTCAAAAAAAAAAGAAATAAATAAAAACCCACATCAAAAATATAACTTACACTAATAACTATAAATAATACAATGATTCTCTTGATAAAAGAAGAAATAACCTTACGAAGTGCCAAAACTTACAAACTAGAATAAATTTACATTCTCTACAATTAGTGCAAGCCAAAACCTTCATAACTTTTTAACCACATACGAGAATTACTATTATAGCCTGTCGCTACGAAGCCAAGGACAAGTGCAAGCTAACTAACTTTCGGGAGTGTTTCGGGCACGTTTGGGCGCTTAGGAAGGGCTCGGAAGACGGGGGCCGCGCGTTATGGGTGCGGTGCGACCTCCCCCAGCGGCGAGAGCCATCTCGCATCTGCGCTGCTTGGAGGGCGTCAGCCTCCCTCCTCACGGGTCGATCGTCTCACGGGCCCGGCCCGGCTTGGTGATGGAGGGAGAGAGCGGGGGGAGAGAATGAGATCGGATGCGGCGGATGTGACATCGGGTGCGATCATACCAGCACTAATGCACCGGATCCCATCAGAACTCCGAAGTTAAGCGTGCTTGGGCGAGAGTAGTACTAAGATGGGTGACCTCTTGGGAAGTCATCGTGTTGCACCCCCTTCCCTCCTTTTGCTCGTTGCTTGTTGTTGCTGCCGCTGAAGTCGCCGACCGACCGACCGACCCCCCTACCTTATTACCCTTGTGAGCGAGGCGACTTCTTCGTGCGGTCGGCTCTCTACAGCGCGTTGTCGCTACGAAGCCAAGGACAAGTGCAAGCTAACTAACTTTCGGGAGTGTTTCGGGCACGTTTGGGCGCTTAGGAAGGGCTCGGAAGACGGGGGCCGCGCGTTATGGGTGCGGTGCGACCTCCCCCAGCGGCGAGAGCCATCTCGCATCTGCGCTGCTTGGAGGGCGTCAGCCTCCCTCCTCACGGGTCGATCGTCTCACGGGCCCGGCCCGGCTTGGTGATGGAGGGAGAGAGCGGGGGGAGAGAATGAGATCGGATGCGGCGGATGTGACATCGGGTGCGATCATACCAGCACTAATGCACCGGATCCCATCAGAACTCCGAAGTTAAGCGTGCTTGGGCGAGAGTAGTACTAAGATGGGTGACCTCTTGGGAAGTCCTCGTGTTGCACCCCCTTCCCTCCTTTTGCTCGTTGCTTGTTGTTGCTGCCGCTGAAGTCGCCGACCGACCGACCGACCCCCCTACCTTATTACCCTTGTGAGCGAGGCGACTTCTTCGTGCGGTCGGCTCTCTACAGCGCGTTGTCGCTACGAAGCCAAGGACAAGTGCAAGCTAACTAACTTTCGGGAGTGTTTCGGGCACGTTTGGGCGCTTAGGAAGGGCTCGGAAGACGGGGGCCGCGCGT